TTGGGGGCGGCGCTCAGTCCATCAGACTTCCCTCATTCGTAGTACAACATTTACTTTCTGCCTTACCGAGAGGAGGGGCGAGGGGTGGGATCACCACGCGCTGAGACTTCTGGCCCCCATTCATTCTGTGGTGGTTTTTCACAGTTGCAGAAAGCAACTTGGTACCTGGGAAAAAGGTCATGGAGACTCTTAAATGTGATCTGGGAGTTGAGCATACTGGCAACCTGTGATCGTGAGGCCACTCAAGGCTAAGTCCCCCTGAGAGAAAGATGTGGGTGGACCAGCCGCGTCCCAGTTTCACAGCTGTCAGTGACTGATTGGCGCGAAGAGCTCTCATCAGCGGTGTACCTCAGGGAGTGTAGCAGTCAGCCAGAAGAATCCGTGGCCTCTTTTTAAAGTTCTCATCGCACCACTAGAGGTCACTAGAGCTCACTATTGCCTATGAAGACCAATTTTGTTAACTTGGCCAATACACTTTCAGAATACTGTACACATTACTTAGAAAAATAAAAATACCTCAGTATAAGGGCTAGATTTAGTAAGTACCCTAATCACGGTGTTGATATTTTCAAACTCTGCAGTAATTCTGGGCCTGTTATGAAGGCTCAGTGTCTAAAACCTCGCCTTGCACATGCCAGGATCCCATGTAGCTGCCAGTTTGTGTCCCAGCTGCTCCACTTCCCATCCAGCTCCCTGCCTGTGGCCTGGGAAAGCAGTCGAGGACGGCCCAAGGCTTTGGGACCCTGCACCCACGTGGGAGACCCGGAAGAGGCTCCTGGCTTTAGATCAGCTCAGCTCCAGCTGTTGTGGCTGCTTGGGTAGTGAACCAGTGGATGAAAAACCTTTCTCTCTGTCTCTCTTTCTCTCTGTAAAATAAACTTAAAGAAAAAAATTTCCCAGTGACTCTAATGTGTAGCAAAATTAGTCATTTTTTTTCTTTATTTTAAATAATTTTATTTTTGATGTTGTTTACATAGCTGACAAGGACACACACACATGAGGACCACTGATTAGGGTGGGAAGGGTCAAGGTATAGGGGAAGGTGGATGAGACAAATGATTCTAATTTTCCTTTTTTTCCCCCCTTTTTTATGTTTCTAGGGGTTGGGGTAGGTGGAGAGAATGAGGTGCCATCCTGCTCCCAGCTGCCAAACCGCATCAGTATCTGGGGGAGGAAGATGTCCACTTGGCCACAAATCCTATGATTTTCCCTGTGGCTGGAGTTTTGAGTCCAGTGGTCCAGTTGGGGAGCCCCAGATCTGACTGTTGCCTGTGCCAGCCAGTACAGGGTCCCGTTTAGTCCATCACTCACATCAGTCTATGCACACACCGCAATAATCATAGTTGCCTAGTCAATTCTGTTCCCAGCCCCATGTCCTATGCAAACCGACCAGTGCTGTGGCTCAGCCCAACCCATCCTACCACAGACTGGGCTGTCACACACACCAGCAGGGACTGCATAGTTGGGAGCCACTTGCAATAACCCCCACCAGGCCCGTTCCCAGCCCCAGTTCCTGCATGTGCCACCATGAGCAGCAGACAGATCTGATCTGTGCCACATCCCAGTCGGGTTCTCATATACACTTATGAGTGCTGCAGCTTAGCTCAGCCCACTCCGCCCCACAGCTTAGCTCAGCCCACTCCACCCCACAGCTTAGCTCAGCCCACTCCGCCCCACAGCTTAGCTCAGCCCACTCCACAGCTTAGCTCAGCCCACTCCACAGCTTAGCTCAGCCCACTCCGCCCCACAGCTTAGCTCAGCCCACTCCGCCCCACAGCTTAGCTCAGCCCACTCCACAGCTTAGCTCAGCCCACTCCGCCCCACAGCTTAGCTCAGCCCACTCCACCCCACAGCTTAGCTCAGCCCACTCCACCCCACAGCTTGGCTCAGCCCACTCCACCCCACAGCTTAGCTCAGCCCACTCCACCCCACAGCTTGGCTCAGCCCACTCCACCCCACAGCTTAGCTCAGCCCACTCCACCCCACAGCTTGGCTCAGCCCACTCCACCCCACAGCTTAGCTCAGCCCACTCCACAGCTTAGCTCAGCCCACTCCGCCCCACAGCTTAGCTCAGCCCACTCCGCCCCACAGCTTAGCTCAGCCCACTCCACCCCACAGCTTGGCTCAGCCCACTCCACAGCTTAGCTCAGCCCACTCCACCCCACAGCTTAGCTCAGCCCACTCCGCCCCACAGCTTAGCTCAGCCCACTCCACCCCACAGCTTGGCTCAGCCCACTCCACCCCACAGCTTAGCTCAGCCCACTCCACAGCTTAGCTCAGCCCACTCCACCCCACAGCTTAGCTCAGCCCACTCCGCCCCACAGCTTAGCTCAGCCCACTCCACCCCACAGTTTAGCTCAGCCCACTCCACTCCACAGCTTAGCTCAGCCCACTCCACTCCACAGCTTAGCTCAGCCCACTCCGCCCCACAGCTTAGCTCAGCCCACTCCACTCCACAGCTTAGCTCAGCCCACTCCACAGCTTAGCTCAGCCCACTCCACCCCACAGCTTAGCTCAGCCCACTCCGCCCCACAGCTTGGCTCAGCCCACTCCACAACTTAGCTCAGCCCACTCCGCCCCACAGCTTAGCTCAGCCCACTCCGCCCCACAGTTTAGCTCAGCCCACTCCGCCCCACAGCTTAGCTCAGCCCACTCCACCAGCCGCGTGTACATTCAGGGATGCTGCCGCTCGTCCAGCCTGGCCCGCCCCCAGCCCTAGCTCTCATGCACACCAGTGGGAGTTGCAGCCCAGCGGATGAGTGCCTATAGTTTTCCCACCAAGTCCATTCCCAGATCTTTCACTTCCCAGGGAGTATCATGGTCCAATCTGACGCAACTTGTACCCTGGAGCCAGCACTTGCCAGGTAGCACTTATCCTGGGTCTGGCATATGCTAGTAAATGCAAAACCTAGCTCACATGCAGGCCTGCCCAGCCTGGTTTGCCCCCAGACCCAGCTCATGCTGGGAGGTGATTCAGCCCTTCCCAGCCCAGCCAGCTCCCAGTCCCAGCCCTAATGATGAACTTGGTAGATGTTTCATTTCAACCTAACCACGCCTACACCCTGTCCTGACTCTAGCACCTGCCAGCAGGTGTTGCAGACTAATCCAGCCTACCTCGCCCCCAAACTTGAATCACATGCATGTCAATGGGTACTGTAGTCCAGCCTGGCCTGGACTGTGCCCAGCCTCATTTTTTGTGCTTACCAGTCTGGGCTGTGTCTTAACAGGGGAGTTCCCGAGCTCCTCTATTAGATCAGCTCCCAGTCACACACACACCACACAGGTGGGAGTTTGGCTCAGCCTAACGTGGTCCACCTCCAGTCCTGACATTGACCAGCAAGGACTATGGCCTTGCCAGACCAGCCCATGCCATTTCCAGCTCTCACAGGTGGGTGCTACAGCCCAGTCTTGCCTGATTCACCCCCAGACCTGGCTCTCATGTGGATCAGTGTGTGCTGTGATGTAGCTCAGCCTGTCCCATACCCACTCTGGTTCTTGTGAGTGCCAGTGGATTTGGAGCCCAGCCCAGTTTGGCACACCCCCAAACCCAGCCCACACATATGCTGAGGGATGCTACAGCCATGTTCAGCCCAGTTTGTCATACCCATCCAAGGCTCTTGTGCTCGCCAGTGGGAGCTCAACTCAGCCAGTGCATCCCCTTAGCTCCCCTACCAGACCCGCTGCTAGACCCAGATCTTCAATGTACGGATGTTACAGCCTGGTCTGGCCCACCCACCCCAGCTTCTCACCATTGGGTACTGCAGCCTAGCCCTGCCCAGCCTGCCCGCATCCCTGGCTCTCATGCAAACCGATGTATGTGATAGCCTAGCTTGGCATGGCCTGCACCCTGTTCAAGTTCCTGTGCATGCCAGTGTTCTGTAGTTTGGCCTGACCTGGCCCAGTCTGCCCCTGGAACCAGCCCACAGACCTGCCAACAAGTGGAGCAGTCCTGCCTGGCCTGAGCAACACCCAGCCCTGACTCTCATGCTTGTAGCCTAGCAGAGGAGTTCTCCAAATTCCCCCATGGGGCCCACTCCCAGACCTGGATCTTACCCGTGACAGCGGGGCCAGGCCTTTACCTGGCATAGCCCACCCCCTGAATCTCAACCTCTGTGTGTGCTGGTAGGTGGGTGCACGTGTGGGTGCTGCAGCCTGGGCCAGGCCAGTCTTGTCCCAACCTCCATTCTCATAAGCATCAGTGAGTTCCATGGTCATACCCAGCTCAGACTATCACCAGCCCCAGCTCTCAAGCAAACCAGCAGGTATTGTATTCCCGTAGAAGTGAACTCACATATCCCCTGAATCCAATCCAATCTCTAGCAACCTGCTTTCTGTTGTGAAACTGTTTCAGAAAGTGGGCGGTGGGAGGTGCGGTGGGAGGGTGGAGCTGTGAGCAGGAGTTTCTTGCTGAGAGGTCAGGGCAAGGCCATACACTGGGCAGCCGTAGGAGCAATAGATGAGAACCAGGGAGTTGCCCTTGGCATTCTTTTAGACCCTGGGGCTCAACCTTTTTGTTCAGTGCCTACAGTACCCACACCCACAGGCTCTTTAATTCAGCAAGTGTCTTCCTGCCAAGCGCGTTCAGGGCGTCGCCTTTTTGAACTAAGCCGTTCTAGAGTCTACAGGATTTCTGAACAACGCTGGTGTGTGTTTCGTCCCGGGTTGTGCCATTCCCTGTTTGTGGAGTCCCCAGCTCCGGAATCTCCAGGTTGCTGTGGGAACAAGGGTCACGCTCCTGAAATGAAAACAAGATGGTCCAAAAGAGCGGGGCGATTCCGGTCGTTACAGCGCACTCCAGAACCTGGTCATCAGCAGCAGCAACGTGGGAAGGACAGCGGACCCCACAGGAGACAAATGCCCAGCGCGGACCCGAGCCGAGCACCGACCCCCAGAGACCTGCCCAGGGGCGGGACCTCGCGCTCCGCCCTCACCCGGCCTCGCTGCGGCCTCTTTAAGAAGCGGAGCCCGAGGGCCCTCACATGACTCGGCGCGGCCCGCTGGCTCCCGGAAGCGGCCCTGCCTCGGGTGGCCGGCTCGGGGGCTCTGGATGACCGCGGGCCGGGCACACCGGGGCAGACCGGGCCAGCCCGCAGCCGGCGCCGGGATGGTGCAGCTGTACAATCTGCACCCGTTCGGGTCGCAGCAGGTGGTGCCCTGCAAGCTGGAGCCGGAGCGCTTCTGCGGCGGGGGTCGCGATGCGCTCTTCGTGGCGGCGGGCTGCAAGGTGGAGGCGTTCGCGGTGGCCGGCCAGGAGCTGTGCCAGCCGCGGTGCGTCTTCTCGACGCTCGGCCGGGTGCTGCGCCTGGCCTACAGCGAGCCAGGTGAGTCGCAGCGGGCCCCCGGGGGGCATCTCCCAAGTGCGGCGGCTCTGAGTGAAGAGACCTGGGGCTTCCTGGAACTGGTGGTGCTTGGGACCAAAGGTGTCCGAGCTGTGCGGTTGTCGTGGCAACCGCAAAAGTGGGGTTACTTCTGAGGGGCGGGGCGGGGGTGGCGGGGACACTTGACTGCTGCCTTGCCTCTTGTGTTCTGATTGCGCCCCGTGCACCCCACGTGCCCACACCCTTTACTGCAGAAATTTTCAGACCCGTGGGAAAGTGGGAGCAGGGAGAATAATACCGGAAGCCTCGAGGTGCGCCCACTTCAGGAGTTACCCCAGCTCAGACCTTTAACAGCTTTCCCTCTCCTGGCTGTTCTTTGGAAAGCCCACATTTGTATGCTGATGTTGAAATGCGTGGGAGTTGATCTTGATCCTTCTTGCCCTCGTCCTCCCCGCCTGAGACGGCTCTAGACCCACCCACCCACGGTTAACACATTTCCATCCGAAATGTGGAGCAAAACCAAAGGAATGCTGTGTGAGTGTTTCCCTGCTTCAGCGGAATCTAGCATTTCACAGCCGACGCTCTTTCAGATTCCCTCCTAGGATTCTCCTAGCCACCTGTCAGCTGTGGTCCTTCCCTTCCCAGGGGGGTGTGGAGCGCAGTGCCGATGGTGGAGCGCGGCCCTGGCTGTGCTGGTGCTGGCCGTGCTGGAGAGGGGCAGCTGCAGCATCGGATGGGTCTCCATCATCCCTGTTGGGCAGCTGCTGCCCTGGGAATCCTTTGAATCTGTTGATTGGGTTCAAAGTAAGTTGATTCATTAAATCAGTGATGTCTAGACATCACACTTTTGTGGGTATGGTAAAAAACTGTGGGGTTACCACACATAACATTTGATTTTTTGATTTGGTGAAGATGTGTGTGTGTAAGATGTATATTTTAAAAATGAAAAGCCGTACTTGTGCTTATGGTCATTATTTTAATAAAATAAAAACTGCCTCTCAGCAAACACTCAGCTTTCGGACCAGTTTGATACACTGTCCATGTTTTTCCCTTTTTGACTGATTACATTAACGGGTGTTTGAAAATCACTCATAAGCTCTGTGATTTCCCTTGGCTTGGGTATTTCTTCTGAAATCTATTTCTGTCGAGTCTTGGCCAATGTTGGTGGTTTTCTCCAATACTGCCCCCCTTTGGGGCTTGGGAGTTTTCGCTTGTACAGGTTCTGTCATGTGGCACACTGAGCAGTTTCAACTTCAGCATTTGTGTAAGTGGCGGGTTCAGGGACAAGGTGGCATGCCTGCATTCTTCCAAATGGTCACTTACCCTGCAAGCCGAAGCGGCAGGTAGGATGTGAAACTTCTAGTCTTCCTGCTAGCTTGAGTGGTGGTTTCTCTCTGATCTTTGGTCACTATAAACGCATGAGAATTACCCAGGGAGCTTAAAAGCATACAGTTGCCCAGGCCACCCCTCCAAGGTGGGGGTTTGCTTCTCTGGGGTGGGATCAGCGTTGGGGTGAGTCTGATGTGCAAGCAGAAGCAAGGATCACTGACTCTGAGCCCCGCTGGCTATGGGAGCGTAAGTCGTGAGTTGTATGACAAACTCGTGAGTGAGGCTTTGAAGAACAAAGATGTTTTTATAGTGTAATTGGCTGCTTAAAGCAAAACCAGGAACCCTATGGGCTGGAATTAGCGTCATGGGCCTTATAGCAGAAGGGTAACTCTTAGTGCACAGCTTCAATTTCCACCCTGGGCACAGCTCCTGCTGATTTCCCCATAACTGGGTGTGAGTCAGGCTGCCCGCTGGCTCTTGCAGACTTCAGATGACTTTGTCTTCCTCTCCTCAGCTTTCCGCTGATCACAGCAGCTGGGACGGGGGCAGAGGGGAGTTCCTTCCCTCACTGCCCCCTGGCATCCTCTGTGGCAAAGCTGTGCACGTCGGAACCACAGAGGATCTTAGAACAGACACTGGTGTGTATTGTAAATGCTTTTCGATCTCACCCAAGCAGAAATCGCTTCAAAGTTTATTTTTAAAAATCTCTAAATTAGCTTCAGGCCATTCTCCTTTTATAGAGTTTGGGGGCATTGAAGAGGAAATGGGTAACAATTTTGAATAGCATCATCAGTAAGGGAAACCTAATGTAGGTTTTATATGTGAAGGGAAAAGCCAGAAGAGTGACAACACACTCGTACCACTGGGCCAACAGACTTGAAAACAGTGCAAGCAGTAAACTTGATGTTGTCTATATTTTAAAAAGATTTATTTATTTATTTGAAGTCAGAGGAATTGATCTTTCCTCCTATGGTTTACTTCCCGAATAGCTGCAACAGCCAGGGCTGGGTCAGGGCCAAGAAGTAGGTCACACCCAAGGATCTCCCGCACGGGTAGGAGGCAGCCAGACACTTGGGCCGTCTTCTGCTGCTCTTCCCAGGGCATTAGCAGGGAGCTGGATCAGAAGTGGAGCAGCTGGAACTCAACTGGCTCCCGAATGGAATGCCAGCACTGCAGATGATAGCTTGGCCCGCTGTGCTGCAAGGCAGGCCCTACCTTGTGTTTCTTTCGCCAAAATAAAAAGAAAATTTGACTGCATCTTTGGAACAAAATGAACTCTTATGGCACCTGTAAGATAGCTTGAGTTTTTGGGGGTTCTACCAAGGTCTGCAGAGGAAGAGCAGGTGCAGGCTTCATTCCGTGGCATCCGAGGAACAGGCGACGGGGAAAAGCTTGCCTCTTTTTGCCACCTGCATCGTGGTGGAGGAGAGCAGAGGAGCCCTGGGGAGCCTCGTGGGTGTCTGCAGAAAGCAGATAGAATGGCACGCTTGCCGCATGTGGATGTGAAAAGTCACTGTAAGAGCAGCAGGCCAGCGGCAGCTCGTTGGCCGGAGGCTGACGGACTGGGGCACTGGGGCAGTAAGTTTCTACATTTGGAATAGCTGAAGTTATTGCCACAACATGTCCCACTTCCTTGCCCATAAAGACAAGAAATTTAAATAAAACGCTGCCAAAACAACAGACCCTGTGGGAGTGTATTAATGTAATTTAAGGCCATGGTAGAAGGTATAAACAAGGTAGGAGAACAGAACAACCGAGAAACAGATAGTACTGATTACAGAAGAATTTTATGGTGGGCCTGGCGCAACTGCATAGTGGCTTAAGTCCTCACCTTGCATGCACCAGGATCCTCTATGGACACTGGTTCATGTCCTGGCTGCTCCACTTCCCATCCAGCTCCCTGCTTGGAGCCGAGGAAAGCAGTTGAGGTCGGTCCAAGGCCTTGGGATCCTGCATCCACATAGGAAACCCAGAAGAAGCTCCTGGCTTCTGGCTTCATATCAGCTCAGCTCTGACTGTTGCGGCCACTTGGGGAGTGAATCATCGGACTGAAGATCTTTTTCTCTGTCTCCCCTTTTCTCTGTAAGTCTGACTTTCCAACAATAAAACAAATCCTTTTTTAAAAAAAAAAATAATTTTATGGCAAAACATGTCAAAGCAAAGTCAAACAGCTTTATTCTTGTCCAACTTTTGGTTAACATTCGTTTAATCCAGAAAGTTTTGATTCCTTAATGCTAACAACACATCAGCACCTTGATTAAAAAATGGACTATTTGCAGAAGAAAAACTATTTTTGATAAACATTGGAAAAGATGATCAGTATATTTTTTTATTTCATTTTATGACAGTTTCATAGGCTCTGGGATTCCCCCATCCCGTGGTGGATTCCTCCACATTGTTGCAGTAGTACAGTTCAAATCCCGTCATGATTCCTTCATTGTGAGCATGCACCGTGCAGAGTCCAGCCTCTTCCTGTCCAGTAAGTTCGACAGTTTCCTAGGATGATCAGCTTTGTACGTGGTCCAGGGACTGTTTGCCATCGCCTGGAGGGAGCGTTTGTGAGGACGTGCGAGAAAGAGCCACATGCTGCCGGCCGTGTGCGCTTCTGTTCCTGCATGAGAGCAATTTGGCAGCTTCTGTCATGTTTACTCTTTTACTATTATTTTAAAGATTTTTCATTTTTATTACAAAGTCAGATATACAGAGAAGAGGAGAGACAGAGAGGAAGATCTTCTGTCCGATGATTCACTCCCCAAGTGAGCACAACTGCTGGTGCTGCACTGATCTGAAGCCAGGAACCAGGAACCTCTTCCAGGTCTCTCACGCGGGTCAGGGTCCCAAAGCTTTGGGCCGTCCTCGACTGCTTTCCCAGGCCACAATCAGGGAGCTGGAAGGGAAGCCGGGCCGCCGGGATTAGAACTGGCGCCCATATGGGATCCCGGGGCGTTTAAGGCGAGGACTTAAGCTGCTAGGCCACGCCGCCGGGCCCGCTTTTACTATTTTTTTAAGATTTTGTTTTTATTGGAAAGGCAGATATACAGAGAGGAGGATAGACAGAGGAAGATCTTCTGTCTGCTGATTCACTCCCCAAGTGGCTGCAATGGCTGGAGCTGAGCCAATCTGAAGCCAGGAGCCAGGAGCTTCTTCCAGGTCTCCCGCATGGGTGTAGGGTCTCAAGGCTTTGGGCCATCCTCGACTGCTTTTCCAGGCTCCAAACAGGGAGCTGGATGGGAAGCAGGGCTGCGGGGATTAGAACTGGCGCCCACATGGGATACAGGTACGTTCAAGGCAAGACCATTAGCCACTATGCAGTTGCGCTGGGCCCTTCTCTGGCGTTTAAAATGCACCTGCTGGGGGGTAGCTATTTGGTATGGTGGTGAAGATGCCTCTTAGAACAACCACATGCCGTATCTGAGTGATGAGACCAAGTCCTGCATCCACTGTGAATTCCTGCTCCCTGCTCGTCTGTGGCATGAGCAACAGCAGGGGATGGCTATGATACTTGGGTCCCTGTCACTCGCAGGGGGACCTTCTGAAGTCCTGGTTCTTGGCTTAAGCCTCGCCAGCCACAGCTGTTGTGATCTGGGATGTGAACTAGCTTCTGGACGGTCTCTCTGTTTGCCTTTTAAAGAAGTGAAAAAATAGAACCAAACACACATTGATGCCAGTGTTCTCAGCTTTGTATGCATCAAAATAAACTCTTGACTAAGCGCATGTACAGGCATAGGACTGGTCACCACTCTGTAGCAAATGGCCGAAGGCTGGAAGTAGTTGTATGTGTGCATCCCCGGGGATTTGCAGAGCGCAGGTGTATACAGCGGATTCGCAGATATTGGAAAAGACAGGTAATTACGTGCCGACTTGGAGGGAAAGATTTGTTGGTAATTTCCTGAAGCTGCAGGCCTGTAAGCATGTAGTGTGTTTCTGTTTTGGTTAGTAAGATAAAGAGAATACCACTCTACCACTCTTACCTACATTTGCCACTTGTGTGACAGCCGTGTTGAAGGCCCTTCCTTGGCCTCAGGGAAAGGACTGCAGGCCGATGGTTGCACTTTAATTTTGCACCTCTTTACTGCTTTGCTCTTTGAACTTCTCGCAACAAATGCGTGCTTTTGATGTTTTTTCAGAGCTTCACTTGTGGAAAGGATAGAGGTTAAAGTGCAAATTGAGGGCCCAGCGTTAGCCTAGTGGCTAAAGTCCTCTTCTTGCATGAGCTGGGATCCCATAGGGGTGCTGATCTGTGTCCTAGCTGCCCCACTTCCCAACTAGCTCCCTGCTTGTGGACTAGGAAGTCAGTTGAGGACGGCCCAAAGCCTTAGGACCCTGCATGAAGGACCTGGAAGAGGCTCCTGGCTGCTGGCTTTGGATGGATGCAGCTCCAGCCCTTGCCACTTGGGGAGTGAATCAGCAGATGGAAGATCTGTCTCTCCTCCCCTCTGTATATCTGACTTTCCAATAAAAATAAATAAATCTTTTGAAAAAAAAAAAGTGAAAATTGAGACACTGTACTACCATGTCAGTAGAATTTTATTAGGCCTCTAGATTTCTAACAATAAAAATAAGGAATAAGATATAGAATTTCCATGCATTGATATGAATAGCTGATAGGTTAAGACCACAAAATGGGAAGAACTTTATTTCAGAACCTCAATGCTTCATGTCAGTTAAAAATGTGGCCCATCAAGGTGGCCTAGAGGCTGGGGTCCTCGCCTTGCATGTGCCTGCAGCCCATATGGGCACTGGTTCTGGTCCTGGCAGCCCTGCTTCCCATCTAGCTCTCTGCTTGTGGCCTGGGACAGAAGTCGAGGTCGGCCCAGGGTCTTGGGACCTGCACCCGTGTGGGAGACCCGGGTAGGGGGATGGTCCTGGCTCCTTGCTTCAGATCGGCTTGGCTCTGGCTGTTACAGCCGCTTGGGGAGTGAATTAACAGACAGAAGATCTTTCTCTCTGTCTCTCCTTCTCTCTGTATATCTGACTTTCCAATAAAAATAGAAAAAAAAAAAAAAACCTTCCCCCAAAATGCACCTAAGATTTCAATGTTTTAGATTTTTATTCTATTCAGCCTCGAATGCAGCCTGTGTATTCGGATTCATAAGTGGTCCTGCTTTCATTGCAAATTCCAATTACAATCTTCCTTCCCCCTCAGGTGACTATTTGGTAACCATTGAAGAGAAGAACAAAGAGACGTTTCTGCGTGCTTATATCAACTGGAGGAGTAAGAGGACGGAAAACTCTCGAGTGTGCATCCGAATGGTGGGGCACCACGTGGAGGTGCCCTTCCTGGAGACCTTGCGAGACCAGATGTCCATAGTGGAGATGCCGCTCTCGGAAGCTCCCTTGTGCATTTCCTGTTGCCCCGTCAAAGGGGACCTTCTTGTTGGCTGCACAAATAAATTAGTCTTATTTAGTTTGAAGCATCAGACCATTAATGAGGAATTCTCGATGTTGGACTTTGAGCGTTCCTTAATTGTGCACATAGATAGGATGTGTCCTGTTGAAATTTCTTTCTGTGTTGGATATGTTGCTGTCATGTCAGACTTAGAAGTCCTAATCCTAAAACTGGAGCCAGACCCCAAAACTGGAGAGAGAGCTAACCACCATGCGGAGGGGACCAAGAGTCCAGTGGAGCAGACTGAACAAGGTAAATATAAACTTAACTTCTTACAAATGACCTTCACTGAGAGCTCTAGTGTGGACGGTGTCCCGACGCCTTATTTATGTGTTTAGCTATTCCTGTTCCATGTGGGTTAATGAGCTTGCCCTTCATATCTTATTTTGAAGCCTATAAGTTTGTGTCTACGTATATTTCTCAGTAGCAGTTATGAATCAGTCACTGTCAGGAGAGGAGCTGTTATTATTTGTTCTCACACTTTCCAGTGGGAGGATCTTGTGTTAGTGATACCGTCTGTGAATTTCAATTTCCTTGCATGTGGATGGGAGCTATCTTTCCTGTTGTACTTTAGCAATTGTGGTAGATAAATGTTCATGTGCTAAGAAACCCACAGTACCTTATAAATGTATATAATAAGTATATATGTATACATAAATAAAAGTACTGCAATTGTATTTCACCCCTGGGAGAACATTGGGAAATCTTCCTTCAAGCAAATGGTAGTTTTACATTTGTTAAACTCTGGAAATTTTTCAAGGTATCAAGGACGACACAGCTCAGCTCGAGTCAGATGACTTTGTCGTGTGCCAGAAGCCCATGGAGCTGCTTGGTGAAAAAAGTGAACAGTCGGGGATATCTGTCACACTGGAGTCCACAGGATTATCTGAGGACAAAGTGAAATATTCCCACGTTCAGCATCTGTTTTATAGGTATCAGAAAGCTTTGTATCCACCAGTATTTGACATAGATGAGCCTACGGTACGTGGACATCACATCTGTCCTTCTCCTTTTTAAACCTACAGACGTTTTGCTCCTGATATTTCCCTCTGTGCCTTTTCTGACGACATTAAGTTGCATTCCCTTCAGTTGCTCCCGGTTTACCGAACAGGTGAGTGTGGCGGGCCGCCGCGCAGGCGCTGGGGAGGCTCGGGGCTGGGAAGGAGGACCAGCGTGGATCGCGGCTCTGCTTCTTCCACGGTGTCTCCTCCGTGTTTCTGAGCAGATCTCATAGTGAGCCTCAGAAGCCCCAAAAGAGAAGTGCTGTTGTCCAGGAGAAGTAAAACCTCGGAGAGCATGTGACAAACAAAACCGATTTCCCTTTCTGAAATGGTCTCCGGGCCCAGAAAGGAAAACCTGAGTCCAGGGAGGGCGGAAGCTTACGCTCAGTGCTGGCTGGTTAGTTGACGGCCTTGTGAGCCAGGCGGGACGCGTGCTTGGAGTGGAGGTTCATCCGGAGCAGTGATCCACACCGCTGCTGCACGTGCTTATGTGATTGCTTTAAAAACAGTAGTGCCGAGGTTCTGCGTGCTGGAGACTGGGACGTCGCTGGTCCCTGGTGGGGCCTGAGCACACGCATTTACTTTAAAGCTCCATCGGAGTCTAATTGGGGACTAAAACTGAAAATGACCAATCACACGCAGGTCTGTCCTGTTGAACAATTTTCGATATCTTCTAGAAGAAGAGACTTTTTAAAACATTTATTTGTTTGACAAAGTTACATACACAGAGACGGAGAGACAGAAAGCTTCCATCCACTGGTTCATCAAGCAGATGGCCACAATAGCCAGCACTGGGTCATGCGGAAGCCAGGAGCCAGAAGCTTCCTCTGGGTCTCCCATGTGGGTGTAGAGGCCCAAGGACTTGGGCCATCCTCACTCCTTTTCCTAGACCATTAACTGAGAGCTGATTGGGAAGTGGAACACCTGGGACACAAATTGACACCCATAGAGGACCCCGGGCAATCATATAAATATTAAGTATAAATACTATTTTGATTAGTTGTTTTAATTGCTTTTATCATTTCAGTAAGAATTTATTGATTACCTATTGTGCTGAGCATTGCACTGAATACTAGGGAGCCAACAGTGAGCAGAAGTTGATTGGCAAAGTCCTTGCACTTGTAGAGCTAAATGTCTGAATGACGGAAGGCAGTCAGGACCTGAATAATAGCCGAGACACACTTATGCATTGAGACGAATGCTGTGTGAGAGTCAATAACACAACAGGGAAAGCTTATTCTGGAGTCAGAGTAAGCTTTCTAAGGAAGAGGATATGAAGGGGGTATGGGGTTGGCTTGGGGTTAGGAGTTGGTGGAGGGGAAGCAAAGAGGTGGAGGAAATAGCAAAACCGCTGTGGTGAGGGGAAACATGTCATGTTTGAGGAACTGAGAAAAGCAAGGCCAGGTGTCAGAGAGCAAGGAGGGGATGTCAGCAAAGTTAGATGGCCGATAGGACCAGCAGCCATGCGAGGAGCACCAGCTCTTCATCTGGTAAACCACTCATTGCACTTGGAATCAAGTTCTCAGACCCATTCCCAGGGTCTACATAGCCTTAACCCTGAGCTCATTCCAGTTTATTCTTTCCCATCCCTAGTGGCCTTCCTCTCTTTCTCAGATAAGCCAAATGTACTTTGAAAGTACGTTAGTGTGTGATACATTATTTGCCTTTTGTAGGCTTAGAATACGCTTCCCTCGCATCTCGCCTGACTTGTGCATTTAGGTGATTTAGTTCACAGCTCAAATGTACCGTCAGGTGGGGGCTGTGGCACACATCCGTGTCCCAAATCAGAGTGCCAGGTTCAAGTTTGGCTACTCCATACCTCCAGTGTAAGTTCCTCCTGAGGCACCTGGGAGGCAGCAAGTGATGGACCAAGTTCTTGGGTTCCTGCTAGCCACATGGGAGACCTGGATGGAATTCCTGATGTCCTTCTGGAACTTGCTGACATACCTTGACTGTTAATAAAGGTATCTGGGGAGTCAACTGGTGGATGGAAGATCTCTCTCTCTCTCTTTCTGCCTTTCCAAGAAATAAACAAATATTTTTAAAAGTAACCTCACTTGGATCTAGTGGCTAACGTCCTCACATTGCAAGCACTGGGATCCCATAGGGGCTCTGATCTGTGTCCCAGCTGCCCCACTTCCCATCCAAATCCCTGCTTGTGGACTAGGAAGTCAGTTGAGAACAGCCCAAAGCCTTAGGACCCTGCACCCATGCGAGAGACCTGGAAGAAGCTCTGGCTCCTGACTTAAGATTGGCTCAGCTCCAGCCTTTGTGGCCACTTGGGGAATGAACCAGCAGATGAAGATTTTTCTGTCTCTCCTTCTGTGTAAATCTGCCTTTTCATTAAAATAAATAAATCTTAAAAAAATAAAGTAGCATCACCCAAGAGGGCTTTCTTGTTCTCAAGTGTAAAATTTCACTTATCAACACACTCTATGGTTCACGTATTTATTTTAGTCCCCATCACTAGAACAAAAGCTCCATAAAAGTAGTTAGCTTGTCCTGTGTGCTGTTGCTGTTTCCCAAGAGCCACACCCTGGGTAGGTGCCTGAATACTGAATACACCAATGAAGAGATGGGAGCTGTGTTACAGATGAGCAGAAGTTTTAGAACATGTATTTTTCATTCAGTTTTGCATGAGAGAAGCACATATGCAGGGAGTAAGGTTGTCATGTGTGTTTGGGGATTAGCAAGCAATTGTGTTTGGCTGGAGCACAGGTGTGTGCAGGGGAATATGAGAAAGAAAAACCCAGACATTTGGCTTTGGCTCAGTGGTGGAAAGCATGGATTTAGACTTCTGATACTAATGAGTATCCTTGAAAAAGGTCAATTAGAGGAGTACTTTTTACTGATTTTATTATTTTTAGAAAGATTTATTTTACTTGAAAGTTGTAATTATGGACAGAGAGGGAGAGATGGAGAGAGAGTTCCTCCATCTGCTGATTCACTCCTGAAATGGCCGCCATGGCCAGAGCCGTGCCAGTTTGAAGTGAGGATCTAGGAGCTTTCTTCAGGTCTCCAATACGGGTATAAGGTCCCAAGGCTTTGGGCCGTCCTCCGCTGCCCTCCCAGGCCACTGTTGGGGAGCTGGATAAGAAATGGAGCAGGGGGGACATGAACTGGCACTCATTAGGATGCTAGTGCCACAGGTGGAGAATCAGTCCACTGCACCACTGGACTAGCCCTCAATTTGATTATTTTCTTACATTTTTCTAAGGGGGAGTTACAGAGAAAGAGGGAAAGACAGAGATCCGTTGGCCCACTTTCCTGCCGTTTGGGCCTGTATGATGCCAAAGCTGGGAGCCTGGAGGTTTTTCCTATTCTGTGTGGCTTAGGTCATCTTTAAACGCTTTCCCAGGTGCGTTAGCAGGGAGCTGGATTGGAAATGGAGGACCCAGGGGTGGACTCAGGTCCTTTTTTTTTAAAAAATTTTTTAAAGATATTTTATCTGAAAGGTAGAATTATAAAAAGAGAAAGAGAGACAGAATTGCTCATGATCATTCCCAATCATATGAGGCTATTTTGGTGCAAATCTCAGAGTTTATACTATTTCATCTACAACTAGTTTAACATGTATTTCTAAAAAAAGAAAGGTTGTTTTATCTAAACCAAAAATACCTTTTACATTTTAAAAAATTTTCCTTGATCTTATCAGATGTCTAGTCAGTATCCAGATTTCACTGTCTAAATTTTTTTTTTTTTTTTGCAATTCATTTGTTTAACTCACATTTTAAAGAAGTTCATTTACTGTAACTGGTTGCTGTGTCTTTTGAGTTTCTTAATCTGCAAGGTTCTTTAAAAACTTCATGGAACTGTAGAAGAAACATTTATTTTGGTACACAAAAGTTTTGAACTGGGCCTAGCACAGTAGCCTTGTGGCTAAAGTCCTGGCATTGCATGTGCTGGGATCCCATATGGACGCTGGTTCTAATCCTGGTTTCTCCACTTCCCATCCAGCTCCCTGCCTGTGCTTTAGGAAGGCAGACGAGCACGGCCCAAGGCCTTGAGACCCTACACCCGTGTAGGAGACCTGGAAGACGCTCCTGGCTCCTGGCTTTGGATCAGCTCAGTTTCAGCTGTTGCAGCTGGTTGGGGAGTAAACCAGTGGATGAAAGATCTTTGTGTCTCTCTTTCTCTCTGTAAATCTGATTTTCCCATAGAAATAAGTCTTTAAAAATTGTTTTTGAACTCTTTGCATAGTTTTTGTCCATTTTTCCATAGACCTTCTGAAGCCTCCTCAAGTAGCTTCTCCCTTCTTCTTTTTTCTGTTTTCCTTGGAGTTTATTTGACAAAAAATTGGTTTCTTATTGGCATGCTCCTGTATTTACTGTACTTCCTGAGAGCTGGTACTTAGCTGTAACTCCCTTCTGACCTGTATGGTAGCCTAGCTGTAACCTGTTATTGAACACTTTAAATAAGACTTGCGTATCTCAGTGTAGACATTCTGTAAAAATCTAATACACATTGGATTTCAGAAGACTTAGTAAAAACATACAGAATATTCATTCATTATTTTTTTTTTTTTTGCTTGTTGGTAATGTTTTGGATCTGTTGAGCTAAACAGTTTTAGAGTTTAGCTATTTATTTTTTTTTAAAGATTTGTTTATTTTTATTGGAAAAGCAGATTTACAGAGAGAAGGAAAGACAGGGAGAAAGATCTTCCATCTGCTGGTTCACTCCCCAAGGGGCAGCAACAGCCAGAGCTGAGCTGATCCAGAGTCAGGAGCCAGGAGCTTCTTCCGGGTCTCTTATTCAGGTGCAGGTTCCAAGGCTTTGGGCAGTCCACTACTGCTTTCCCAAACCACAAGCAGGGAGCTGGATGGGAACTGGAGCAGCTGGGATTATGAACTGGAGCCCCTGTGGGATCCCAGTGCTTCCAAGGCGATGAGTTTAGGTACTAGGCTACTGTGCCAGGCCCAAGCTGTCTTATTTTTTAAGTGAGATTACTAGAAAACTTTATAGATATAGCTCTCATTATATTTACGATGACAGTGCTGGTCTAGAGTTGGAGTTAGGTATTTTCTGTTAATTTTGAATACCCGTAAATACATTGAGCTCTGTTGGGAAGCATGTGGATCTGGGTGACCCTTTTGGGGACGTTAACAGCCACTTACGATTGTTAACTAGATCTGTTAAGTTTCAGGGCTTGCAAATCGGTGCTATTCTAATCACATCACTCCTCTGGTACTGATACTGTTCTGTAAAAAGTAACTTCCCTTTAGCAACTCTGCTTACCCCCCCCCCCCCACGCAGTCTGATGCACTCCCCTTGAGGTACCGCTTTGCTCATAGCCATTCCTACGATTTTTGCGTGCAGGTTCTCTTACATCAGATGGAAAAACCTCGTCTCAGGAAAAGGAGTTGCTGAGTCTCTTCTGCTTCTTCTCGCTACCTCACGCGGGCTACCTCTACATGATTGTCAAGTCTGTTGAGTTGATGTCCATCTACCAGTACCCGGAGAGGGCTCAGCAGGCCGTGCTCACACCGCAGTTCCTGCACGTCATCACAAGGTACCGTGACAGAGTCACCCGTCGGCCTTGCCTTTGAGTCAGTTTTTACGTGTCCCCTGAGCAGACAGATGGTCCTAACTCCCTGGGTCACAGCTGTCCTTTGTCACTCTGTCTTTTGGTGCCCATCGCTGCCTTCGCGGTGACCTAGGGGATGTGAGACTCTGGTGTTGTCTTTGTTCTGTTTTATTACACCGAGAGGGGATCCTTGTGAGAAAGTCCGATTCCTTCTAAAAGAAGGTTTTCTTAAGGAATTCCAATGAAACGTTACTGGTGCCGATCGGGACATCTCTTTAGATCTCTTTAGGTTTCCTCAACATTTTCTTTTTTTCTCACTGTCTTATTTCAGTATGAATTGAGCGATTTCATAATTGTACAGAAACAGTGCTTTGACTGGCTGGTAAACTGATCTGATTCCATCTCTCCACTCTTCTCCCCTCCCCTGCATTAGCACAGATGGGAAAACATTCACCGGGAGCTTTTATGATAACCAAAGTCGTGTGGCTGCTTAGCAACATGTGTCTTCTGGCGTATAGACTGAGATCTGAAGTGCAGTTGATCTCGTTTTCTTTCATCTCACCAATGCGTCTAGTTTGATTTCCTGTTTTCTGAGCCTAGACCCTCTGATCAGGCAGCTGTGACCAAGGCTCACCATCTGCTTTCTCCCACGCGAATGTAAGAGGAGACTGTTGATTACCAGCAAAGACACAGACTCTGTGAGATTGTGGAGCCAGTGTGGTGGCACCAAGGGCTGAGCCACCACTTCCTTACTCCGTAATAGAATGCCACATCGCATCTTGGCGGAGCCTTGCATCTGCTGTAGTGTGTCTCTGTTAGCTTTGCTGTCGTTCTTTCCTCTTTTTTTTTTTTTTTAAATTTCAAAGATTTCAGCCTTCCACATTCTGATTCAGTTTTAAGAAACATTCACAACTCCTGGGTTAACTATACTGGTTCTTAATGCCAGTAGTGGATTGTTGACTTAGATAGCAGCCCATGACAACCAGGTGTCCCTTGTTCCCTTGTGTCCTCCTGTGCAGAGCAGCCCAGGAATGACAAGACGGGAGTGTGAGGACCCGGGAGCCTTTTCTGTCACAGTCCCTGCTGTCCAGAGGGGCCTTGGATCGCGCCAGAGCCTCCCGCTCTGTTCCCATCCTAAACCAGCTGCTGGGTTAGGTGTGTCTGGAAATTCTTTCAGACGCTCTCTCATTTTCAGTTCTCTCACTGATTTGTGTCTCCTAATTGAGATGTGCTTCTCCACATAATCCAGGCAGAATTTCATCCTGAGATGGGTCAGGTGGAATAGTCAGGAAGCAGGTTCTAATCTTGCTTTGACAGTCACTCATATGTCCGCTGGGTAGATCCTGCTGGCCTTCTTTTTGTCTGTGTTTGAAATCATTGCTCCGGAGCCCTGGTTCTTAACTAGGAGTGGGCATCAGAATCAAACACGGGGCCTTATAGAAAAAGGCACCTGTAGTTTCAACTTTTTGAGCTGCTGTCTTAGCGGGGCTGAGGAGGATCAGTTACATCATTTTGAAAACACTCCATAGGGATATTTTAAAATAATATTTATTTATTTTTTATTGGAAAGGCAGATGTATAGACAGGAAGATCTTCCGTCCGATGATTCACTCCCCAAGTGAGCACAACGGCTGGTGCTGCACCGATTCGAAGCCAGGAACCAGGAATCTCTTCCGGGTCTCCCACGCGGGTGCAGGGTCCCAAAGCTTTGGGCCGTCCTCGACTGCTTTCCCGGGCCACAAGCAGGGAGCTGGATGGGAAGCGGAGCTGCCAGGATTAGAACTGGTGCCCATATGGGATCCTGGTGCGTTCAAGGCGAGGACTTTAGCCACTAGGCCACGCTGCCGGGCCCTCCATAGGGATTTTGAGTCACTGTCCTCATCGAGAAGCAGTCTAGATCATAAGCGTTTGACAGATGTTTGGGTCTTCTCCCTCCCCTGCGCTTGCGCTGATCGCTGATGAAACGCTCTGTGTGACGGGATCTTGCTCATCAGCCTCCACGCCCCTCAGCAGACTCCCTCCTGTTCCCTAGCAACAACCTGCAGTGTTTCACGGTGCGATGCAGTGCCGCGGTGGCCCGGGAGGAGGACCCGTACATGGACACCACCCTGAAGGTGAGAGCCAGCTGATGTGCCAGTGAAACGCCACCGTCACGCACGGAGAGGGAGGGCCTGCGGGTGTGCCGTTGGGCCTAAGCTTGGCTGGGACTGAAAGCCTTAATGTTGATTTGTTTATTCAATCAGCATATTCGAATTTAGTAGTAAGCATTTTGTGACTCATAGTTTAGTTGAAAAGGCTTAAGATTGCTTTGAAAACCTTTCATTCAAAATCGGCCCAGTGCATAGCTTGGTCAAGATGTACAGTGTAGCTTCAGAGAAAGCAATTTGTGATGGTGATATACTGCTTTTTGTTAATGAAAATATTGATGGCAGTTGTGCAGAGCTATTAACAAAAACAGTATGGAAATCGTATACTCAAGAATGCAACAATGGAATGCGGTGCATTGAAAGTATATTTATATAGTCGCTAGGTACGCCTATTTCTTTTGTCGTTTTCTAAACCTGCACTCACTTTCTGTAATCAGTCTAAGACTAATGGCTTTGGTGGATCAATAACCACATTCTACTGAGAGATAATGTACTTAGTGTTTTGTTTTTTTTTAATGTACTTAGTGTTTTAAAGCTCTTGACCATAAAATAAGTGTAGACAGCTTTCATGATGTAATTCTGAATCATTTGCCCTTGAATCCTGAGCTGAAGAATACACTGGTCATTTGCATAATATTCATCTATCCTGGTTTTTTTTAAAGATTTATTTTATTTTTATGACAAAGTGGATATACAGAGAGGAGGAGAGGCAGAGAGGAAGATCTTCTGTCCGATGATTCACTCCCCAAGTGGGCGCAACAGTAGGTGCTGTGCCGATCTGAAGCCAGGAACCAGGAATCTCTTCTGGGTCTCCCACACGGGTGCAGGGTCCCAAGGCTTTGGGCCGTCCTCGACTGCTTTCCCGGGCCACAGGCAGGGAGCTGGATGGGAAGTGGAGCTGCCAGGATTAGAACCAGCGTCCATATGGGATCCCAGTGCATTCAAGGCGAGGACTTTAGCTGCTAGGCCACGACGCCGGGCCCCATCTATGCTGTTTTATCTCTGAAGTATAAGCTAGTTGAATGAATATTTACTATAAAGTTATATGCTGCAGGAAACTCCCAAATTATAGTAACCTGTATTTCAAAGGTTGGTTTATGAATATCTGGAACTTGGAATTTTTTTTTTCCCCAGAAAAATAAGTGCTCAGTTGTTGGAGTTGTGTTAATAAGCCTGCGCCATAGGACCTAAGGGGTTGCCTTTTTTGGAGAAGCAGTAGTATGTTTGGGAGAGCAGGGTCTCTGACTGCAGTGACTCCTGGCTAGTTTTCTTTCTGCCTACAGTCTCTTTCTAAGGAGTCACAGATTTCCTATTCCTTCCTACGTATAAGTTGCACAACACTTTCACAAAATTATTTTAAAAATAGGGTTATTTCCCTGGTGAAAATGTGAAGGTGCTCACCATATTTTGTTCTTCTCTCCTCCCTCCATTCCTGAATTTTTAACCTTGGAAAGACAAAGGTGAAGGTGCACCTTGGAGCACAGAATAGGTTGAAATCTAAATTTGGGGAAAAAATAATGCCATCTCTTTTCAAACCTCTAAAACCAGAGGGGAGCGGCAAAGAAGAAACTAAGGGGAGGGAGGCAGAGGGGCTGGCAGGTGGCACCTGAGCCCACGGAAGTGGGAAAGGCGGGCAGTAGTGAGCATGCTTCCTCTTTCTGAGCTCCTGGATGCCCCGAGGCAGCCCACAGTCCCTTGGCCCAGCTGCTGACTCAAGGTTTGTGAAGACTGAAGGTTTCACAGCCCCGGAATCTGGTCCTTTCTTCTGAGATTCTGGCTTATCCGCATTAACCAAGACCACCTTAATTAGAAATGAAAGCGTGGACCAAAGTGCCGGAGTCCAGCTCCGGCCGAGTTTGGAGCTCAGGAAGGGTGCGTGGAGTCGGCGATAAAGAAAGACACAGACACAGACACTTGGTGCATTCTCACCACAGCTCAGGAAAAGCTGTCCTTTTTATTTACTTGAAACACCTCTCAAGCTTCTGCACAAGCAACTATTCTATTTTTTTCTTTTCAAAATTAAGGGGGCATGTACAGATATTTGGTCACTCTGTCTGCACTTCAAAACTAAGCAGGTGCCCCTAAAGATAATTTTGCAAAATACTGCATTCACATTCTTCAAAGCAAGCTATTGTTTATTCTTCAACAGTAGCCATGGAGCAACAGCCAGGACTCCAAGGCCAAGGCACATGCGATTACCTGCTAATCAGTAGTACTTTCCTACCACATTTCTACTTCTACAATTTACCCACCATTTAATGGGAAAATAAGTTACAAGGGAAAAAACCTAAAATCTAAAACAGAGACTTCAAATGTTAAATCTACCTACAACTATAGACTCCTACAACCCCATAAACAATAAAGCAACAATCAAAAGCATTTTTTGTTAATAAAACATCCTTAATTCCTCTAGCTAAAAATTATAAAAGCAGCTAAAACAATTACATTTTCTAGGCTCCAAAAAATTGCAAAGGCAGGCTAGCCTTTGAGATAACAATAACTATATTTATTGCCATAGCAGTTTCAGCTCTCACTCCCATCCCTTGCGTTAGTATTTAAGACATATATATCAAGCCCCTTCCCAGAGGACATGCTGTATGTCTGGGCCAGGTTCTGAGGCAATAGTTAACACACAATAAGGTGTCCAGAAATGGCATGGGCTTATTTGTGCTCCTGTGTGTAAATTGTCAAAGGCCCACTCACCAAGGCATTATCAGTGACATTAACTCTCAAGTTCACATCAGTTGTAAAAACCTGCAAAAACTGTCTCACAGGGCAAACAACAATGCCTCAATCGAATACAGAATTCTTAGTGGGGTGCTTGAGTGTCCATGCAGCCAGGGGGTGAAACAGTGTCAGGGTGGTCAGAGAGAAATCCGCCGGGCCCTGCCAAACAGCTGGAAGCTCCCTCGGGCCCCGGGCCCTGCCGAGCAGGGGAGCTGTTCTCTTCACACCTTCATGCCATCCACACCTACTGCACGGACCCCAGCACCAAACTGTTTCTGTAAACACTTTGTAGTAAGGAACAGTGAAAAATGACCTCACAATCAAAATAGTGTTAGTGGAAGGAGAGGGCAGGGGCCTGGCAGCATCACTTTGTGAGTTCCCAGGAGTGCTGTAATCTTTTCTTTTTCCACTCTGTTTGTTGGTGTGCCTCCCAGGTGCAGGGACTCTTTCAATACCCACCTGTCAGCCATGCCAGGCACTATTGACACCTAGGGGACTGGCAGTCAGGGGCCATGAACACACAAGCATTTCCATTCCATGTATTCCACATGCAGTGCGATGCCATTGCATTATGACTGACTTGTCCTAGTTACCTTACTGGGCATACCCTGGAGCCAGCCCACTCTTACTGGTGATGGGCTGCTGGCTCGGTCCTGCTCCTTGGGAGAGGTCTTCTTGAGTCACTCTGTGGAACAGCCGCAAGAGCATCCTTCTCTGGGTACGTTCAGTCAACAGGTGTTGAACTTGAGTGACTAAGATAGATGGTTACGTCACTGTGGAGAACTTCCGGACCCTGTTGAGAACAGGGCTTTGGATCGCTCTTGGTGGGGAGGGGAGGCAGTTGGAAAAGAGGAAGCGAAAGGGATTTGATCAAATAAACAGGCTTTATTTTGATGTGTCTTTGTCCCTTGGTTAAATTTGTGATTTTTTTTCCTTTTTCCTTTGCTAGGCTTGCCCTCCTGTCAGTATGGATGTCTGTGCTTTAAGAATACAGCTGTTCATAGGCCTGAAAGCTCTCTGTCACTTTAAAAACCACATTGTGCTTTTGACCAAGGCGGACCCTGAGCCTATTCCACAGAGAAGAGAGTCCACCAGGAGGTTTCTGTAAGCATCTCCTTGCTCTAAACGTTGTGCCAATTTCTGGAATGAATTGCAGCTGGTATATTTCCTATATGTCTTATTTTATCTGCTTATCTGCTTTTTGTTTGATCAAAATCTGTAATGATCATGTGGTTTTTCAATTTTTTTTTTTTTTTGTTTCCTAGAGACAGGGAAGAAAGTACTGGAAGGATCTCTTTAGTGTTGCTTACTATTGAGTTTAGGATTTAGAAGAAAATTCTAAAATAGCTTCAGTAAGAATCAGTGGTATTTTGCTTAAGTCTGAAAGAGATGCTTTTCTGCTTAATTGAAGACAAAGGCACAACCCATCGTGTTAGTTTAAACTCCAAGAGAGATGTGTCTAGTGCATTTCAGGTTCAGCAAGGTTTTGCTGTTTGTCATAGGTGTTTGCTTTTAGGAATTGCGTGTTCCTCACCCAGCAATTGGAGCTTGAGTTGAACTCGGGGTCCGATGTGGACACAACACAAGCTGCTCTGAGATTTGATCTTAAAAACTTTCTGTCAAGAGAAAAAACAAAATTTGTAATCTTGTGTAATTAACATTTGTAAAATATCAGATTTTAAAATACATATTAAGGACATTTTGATTTGAACATCCATTTGACTAAAAATTGTAAGATTGTACCCCAAGGAAAATTCCTATCGTGGTAAAAGCAAAAGGGAGTGTTTTGCTCACACTTAATAGTTTCCTGGGTTTTCTGCGTTTTTCCCGCAGCCCCTGGTGTCTTTGCGTGTTATACTCTGCTTAGATTTGTGACCCAGGGTGCGCTGGGCTGTGAAGGCCACATACAGTGGGGAGCCTGGTCCCAGGGACTTTCACAGTGAATCTTTTAAGGTTCCTGCCTGGTTTTTGAACTTATAGCTCATTTGAGAGCATTTGTAAACTGAATGTATTGGTTCATCAATCTATGATAGTTAGAGAACATCAAAATTTGTCGGCCTCTATCATGTTGTGAACTAAGATTTCATAAAAATCAACTGTATGGCTAATCTTGCAAGAACATTTTACATAAAAGTGATATTATACTTATGAATGTGATACCATTAGCCATTTAAAGCTGCCATTCGTGAGTAATACGCCTTACCTTTTTCGGGTTCTTATCTTTTGTTTTAGTTCTAGGAAAGATACCAGTGCTAAGATGAAAGTGCCTCCCGTGGCTGAGGCGGGGTGGAGTCTGTACATCGTGAATACCGTCTCGCCAGTGCAGCTCTACAGAGAAATGGTACTCGTTTTAGACTTCTGATTTTTGTTTGTAGAAATATGAGTGAAATTGTGACTAGACATGAATTCTAACTGTCTTATATTCAGGATGCTACGGCTGGCCAGCTTCTAACCTTGGACAGCGAAGTGTTAATGTTTTTTCACAGTTTCTGACATTTGTGGTGCCAGTAGAAAAATAGAATTCCTTTATTCATAATCCCATCTTAAAGGGATTGATGAGCCAATGTAAACACAAGTTGTCCTTGATCTTGACTTAGAAAGAATGCTAACAAAGAGGACTATGACACAGAGCTATAAGAAATATAAGAGCATTTATCTCAATCTTACTATTATTCCTTTGAAATATGACACCTGGCACACTAGAAAAAAAGCCTCTTTATAATGTTCAAAAACCTGGGCCCAGCGCAGTAGTCTAGTGGCTAAAGTCCTGACCTTGCACATGCCGGGATCCCATATGGGCACTGCTTCGTGTCCCAGTGGCCTCACTTCCCATCCAGCTCCCTGCTCGTGGCCTGGGAAAGCAGTCGAGCACAATCCAAGGCCTTGGGACCTGCAACCGTGTGTGGGAGACCTGGAAGAGGCTCTGGCTCCTGGCTTTGGATCAGCTCAGCTCTGGCCATTGCAGCTACTTGGGGAGACACTCTGTGGATGAGAAGATCTTCCTCTCTCTCTCCTCTCTGTATAGCTACCTTTCCAATAAAAATAAATATTTTTAAAAAAATTATACTTAAAAAGAAGAATGGTACAAAAAAAAAAACATTGTATTCACTCCGTTAGTATCTTTATTTTCTGGACTCTTGTGCTTTCTGCACACACACACACAAACACACACACACACACACACATTTTTTTTCCTGATCTGTTGCAAAAAATATAGTGAATGTGGTGACTTTGCACCCCAAATATTTCTAACGTTTTCTAAGAATCTACATATTCTCTGCACAGCCATACTGCATCATCTGCTTCAGTAAATTTTACATTGACATAACATCTAGTATACAGTTCACACCAACTTTTATTTCTTGGCCCAACAGTGGCTTCTAGTTCAGGATCCAGTCAAGGACAGTAAGAAGCATATTCATTTACTTTGTCTCTTTAACTTTCTCGAAGCTGGAATGGCTGTACAGTCTTTGATTTTGTGATTATGATTTTTTAAAAAGCTATAATAATCTCTTTGTGTTGTCTTTTTGGAGAAAGTATTACTTATTTTGAATTTGATTTTTCTTTTTTTTTTTAAGTTTTATTTTATTTACTTGAAGAGTGACAGGGAGAGATGTGCACGCACACACACACACACGGTTGGTGGTGGCTTAACCCGCTGTACCACAGCGCCGTCGTCTGAATTTTTTTTCATGAGCTGATTCAACTTATGGATTCTCAGCCAGAATATTACCTTGGTGATGTTGTTTGTTTACCTACTTGGATGGCAGAGTGAAAGAGACAGAGAAATCTTCCATGCCCCAGATGACTTTCATAATGCCTGCAAAAGCCCCAGAGCTGGGCCAGGCCCACACCAGGACCCACCCATCTGGGTCTGGCGTGGGTGGCATGGGTGCACACACTTGAGCCATCATCTGCTGCCTCCTAGGAATGTTAACAATAAGCAGGTCTGGAAGCTGTGACTAGAACCTGGTTCTTACTATGTGATGCTGGTATAACAAGCGGTGGCTTAATATGCTGTGCCACAATGCCTGCCCCAATAGTGTGTGTGTATATGTGTTTTATAATGGTATTACCTTTGAAAACAAATGATGTCTGCCCCAAACTGGAGGTACTAGGGTTTGGCCATCAGGTCAAGGGGTTGTCTGATTTGTCCCTGGCATTGTAAGGCGGATAGTTATGTCATCTTTATCCTTGTTTTTTGGTTTTGCTTAATTGAAAGTTTTTTATTTCAGCAGAGTGGTTGGACTGCTGTTTATGAGTTCACTGTCAGTAACAGAAGTAGATAGAGTACAGCTTAAACTTCACCAGGTTTTAAGCTTCATTTTATTTATTTGAAAGCAATGTGATGAGAGAGAGGAGAAAGAGACAGAAAGAGATGTTCCATCTGCTTGTTCACTCCTAAAGTGGCCACAAGGGCTGAAAATGGACCACCTAAAAGCACCCATTTAAAGAGGATTACTCAGTGTGAATATGGGGGAGTTACATCACAGAACTCTGGTTTTCAAGTTGGCCATTTCAAATATATTTATTACCTTTATTAAAAAAGAGGGTGAAATCATTGCTAAGTTCATAGTAACACCATATTAGTTAGTAGTTTAACACTGTACTGTTTGACTCATAGATTGTGGAGGAAAAAAAAAAAAAAAAAACTCTTGCCAAGTCCCTGAATAAACTAGCCACGCATTTATTGACTTTCAGGATTTACTATTTCCAGATATTAACTTTCATTAGGAAGCTATATAGATGCTCTTGGGAACAGGGGAACTTTTGGGCGTGATTTTGTGAGTGACCTTTGCTGCTTGTGTATCCTTTGTTCCAGGTAGAGTATAGTAATACCTACAAGACTATAAAAACCCAGAGCTGCATCCACCTTCTCAGTGAGGCTCATCTGTTGGTGAGGGCAGCCCTGATGGATGCCAGTCAGCTGGAACCGGAAGAGAAGGAAGAACTCTTAGAAGCATTTAAAGAAAGTTGTGGACACCTGGGAGACTGTTACAGCAGGTGACACCCTTTGGACATTGCTGTACAAGCCATCTGCAATGCTGTGTGTGCTTGTCAGCGTTCCCCATTGGAGGAAAGCGTGAAGGGAGGTGGTTCTTTCATTCATGTTTATCACATGTGTCCAATGAATGAATGAAATTAGGGACGGTCTTCTTGGCTTAGAGATAAGAGATAAGTGTGATCCATTCCCTTATTTTAAGGAGTCCCAAGTTTGTCAGACAAGCAATAAATCTCACGTTCTGAGTCTCTTACTACTTCACTTAGAAATTTAACTTTTTTTTCTGATTTGAGGGACATAGGCCTTGACCAGCGAAAATCCCCAAGATAAAAGATGTCCTGATTGGACTCTTTATGATTGAGTCTTGGTGGTCAGTGCTTTTATGATGCAAGCAAGGGACTCTAGGACGAATAATGATTTTTATTTTTGAGAATTATACTTACACATTTTTTGTCTATGAATGTTTCAGATACTTGCTGGATTCATATGAATATTATAAGTTGAAAGTTTTTTCAACCTATCAAACAGTTATTTTAGTGCTACCTTATGAATATTAAAAACACTTAATGAATTTCTGACTTTGTACTTTCATTATAAGCAAGTCAAACGAAACTGCATTAATTAGAATGATGACTTGGTAAAAGAACGTAAAGAGTTTGTTTGGCAGTAGAAAAGCATGTTTAAGATTTTTGTCTTCAGGAAAGCATTGTTTTAGTATTACGTGAGTTAGAGATCTACACTTAATTACTGTGGATTTGAGGGTTTTTCTCTTTCTTTTTTTTTTTTCTTTTCAGGCTTGACACCCAGCATTCCCACCTTGCCTTACCATACTATAAGATGTCGGGTTTGTCTATGGCTGAAGTTTTGGCACGTGTGGATTGGACAGGAGACAGTGAATCACAGAAATATGAGAGGGGATTAATCTTTTTTATTAATCATTCGCTTTATGAAAACCTGGATGAAGAATTAAGTGAAGTGAATAGTTTCCTGTTTTGTTATGTCTAATATATCTAACTTTGTATTTCAATCCTTTATGTAATACCATTTACAAGTCAAATTCCAAATAGTTTTCTTTTTTGATCATTGTTTTTGTAAAAGTATAATGGAACCTTTTCTTATTAATCGTTATGGGATTATAGCTAGGAAGAGAATGTGTGGACCACTTATATACACAGGAGCTGTGGCCCACTGAAATTGAGTGACCCACACAGTAACAACAGAATGGCCTTAAAAGAATGACCGTGGACCTAGCCTTCGTACTTCTCATCTGTATTCCTTCCCCACAACCCCAGCTGCCCTATTCTCGAAGTGTCCAAAGCTTTGCTTTCCAACCCCTGCACAGTGGCCATAGCACATTATTATGAGATATTTTAAGTCCCTTATTTATTTTAAACATAGCTGAATGCAAATATTCTGAGTTGGAAGTTGTGATTCCACATGTTTTAAGATTTTAAGACAAATGAGATTTTCTCATATGAATTATTTCAAAGTCTATATTTTGAACTGCATGTAATTTTTTTTCAAGATTTATTTTTATTTGAAAGGCAAGGTCATAGAGAGAAGGAGAAACAGAGAGAGATTGAGCTTCCATCTTCTGATTCACTCCTCAATTGGCCACAATGGCTGCAGTTGAGCCAATTCAAAGCCAGGAGCCAGGAGATGCCTCTGGGTTTCTCACCTGAGTGTAGGGGCCCAAGGACCTAAGCCCTGCTCCACTGCTTTCCCAACTCATAAGCAGGGAGCTGGATTGGAAATGGAGCAGCTGGTACACAAACCAGTGTCCATATTGGGGGCTGGGACCACAGGCAGGGGCTTAGTCTGATATGCTACATTACTGACCTCTTATTGTAGTGTCTATGGTGAACTTTTAAGTTTAATTTAATGACATCCTTTTGTTCTTATATATTCTTTTTGAAATTAGAAACATTGACCATAATGAGATGCGTGTTTTTACTGCTCTTTCTTCATTATACAACAAGAAAGAAATCACTCTGGGTCATGCTTGGGCTCTCATCTATCAGCATCAACTCTTTTCATTAAATATAAATATGCAAGTATAATCTTATGTTGCTTTCTACTAACTGACTGCCCTTTTATTCCTTGTTCACGCTTACCAAAGGAATTTGCAGCGAAAGTGGTTAAGATGTTTTATGTGACTGAACCAAAGCAGCTGCCCCATATTCTTTGTAGTCCTTCTATGAAGAATATTAATCCTGTAACTGCCATGAGCTACCTGAGGAAGATGGATACTTCTGGGTTTTCATCTGTCTTAGTGACACTGACCAAGGCAGCAGTGGCATTGAAAATGGGAGATCTTGACACGTACAGAAATGAAATGAAAAGCCATTCAGAGGTATGGTGCCTGCCTGATTTTTTTAAGATTTTTTTTTTTTTATTAGAAAGGAAGATAAACAGAGAAAAGGAGAGACAGAGAGGAAGATCTTCCGCCCACTGGTTTACTTCCCTAGGGGCTGCAACAGCCAGAACTGAGCAGATCCAAAACCAGGAGCCCAGAGCATCCTCGGGGTCTCCCATGCGGGTGCAGGATCCCAAGGTTTGGGCCATCCTCTACTGCTTTCCCAGGCCACAAGCAGAGAGCTGGATGGGAAGTGGAGCAGCCAGGGTTAGAACCAGCGACCATATGGGATCCTGGCAGATGCAATGTGAAGATTTAGCCACTAGGTTATTTGCCAGGCCCCACAGAAGACTCAAATAAGATGCAATAGCTTGAGAAATACAGCTTTCTTCTGGCTTTTTCTAGCTCATAATGCAAAATAGACTCAGATTAGAAGGGTGGTGATTCTTAGTGGGACTTTGAATCCAGCGTGTGAAAAAGAAGTAAGACAGGGCCCGGCGCGGTGGCGCAAGTGATTAAGTCCTCGCCTTGCACGCCCGGGATCCCATATGGGCGCCGGTTCTAATCCCGGCAGCCCCGCTTCCCTTCCAGCTCCCTGCCTGTGGCCTGGGAAAGCAGTCGAGGACGGCCCAAAGCTTTGGGACCCTGCGCCTGCGTGGAGACCCGGAAGAGGCGACCGTTGCGGCTCACTTGGGGAGTGAATCATCGGATGGAAGATCTTCCTCTCTGTATCTCCTTTCTGTATATCCGCCTTTCCAATAAAAAATAATAAAAATAAATCTTTAAAAAAAAAAAAGAAACGCAGCTGTCAACTGAGAAGATGTTTAAAAAATAAATAAATTAATTAAAAAAAAAAAAGAAAAAGAAGTAAGACAGTGGGCAGGCAGAGACCCTACTGTTTAGTGTCGTTGTGTTCAGAGCACTGTGCTTAGGACAGAAGAACAGGGAGACGCTAACCCAGACAGACATTTTACCTGCCATAAGGGATACAGCATGTGCACTGAAAACAGAGCAGAGCGATATGTACTTAAGTACAGCAAGGGGATTTTTATCAAGTGAGCCTTGGAGTTCTAGTAGTTGCAGAAAGCACTCCAAGGGGAAATCCCAGATGGTTTTAAGGAGGTCTGAACATTTGAGTGTTATATCAAAGGAAGAGAAGTTATTCCCTTCGGAAAAGAGGTTGTTTAGGGGCTTAACCAAAGATGCTAACCATGTAGGGAAAATGTTCGGGATAATCTTAATTGAGCACTGGCTGTGTCCCAGTCCATTCCAAGCCCTTTGTTTATGTCAGCTTGTTTAATTCTTACCGTTATGTTATCAGATATGTTCTGTTACAGCCATTACAGTTGAGAGAACTAGGACACACACAGGTTAAGTAACTTGTTCAGATCACAGTGTAGACGATTGGGAGAGCCAGACTGAACAGGCAGCCTGACCTCCGAGCCTCAGCTCCTGTAACGTCACTTCTGTGGCCTGTCTGGCCTGACTGTTCCCACACCCTGACTTTGGTTTCTAAGACAACAGGTGCCTTATCACCATGCAAATGAAATGCTATCTTAGGATGAGGAAAGCAAGTCCACATCACCATGTCTTCTAATTTGAGTACAATTCTAAAGAAATGAAATTTCTTTTTGTGATTTTGAGAAAGTTTATTTTCAAAACAAGTAAACCTAAATATGAAAGTCTCTCTAACATGTGATATCCTGGTACATAAATATTAATAACTAATATAAAAGAGTTAAAAATAGCCTTCTTAGGGTAAAAATTAATTTTGTTGCTAAGGGGGAAATTGTGTTTAATTGTTAATAACCATGAGTCATGAATACACTGGCATGTATCTCCAAGATGGATCTGATGAAAGAACTATCCATGTTGTTTTTGAATTTCTTTTTTATCTGAAGATGAAGTTGGTATGTGGCTTCATTTTGGAACCACGCCTGTTGCTTCAACACAGGAAGGGCCAGGGTGTTCCAACCGAGTTTGCGGCTCACTTGAAGGAGACTCAGCCCGGATTGCTGGTGGCTTCCATGCTTGCCCTGCAAAAGAACAACAAAATTGGGGTGGAAGAAGCGGATTCTTTCTTTAAGGTTTGTTGTACAGAAAATGTCATTTTTCTGGCTGGCCTGATAAGATCGGTGAACACAGGGCAACAGAGTAAGTTTTCATTTATTCGTTTGCTGACAAAAGCAGATTTACACATAATCAGGTAATTTCTAAAAGTACAAACTAAAAGGATGTATCTGAAGAAACTTCATGTAGCATAGGATCTGGTTTTGTGTGTTTTAAAGATTGGTTGATTGATTTGAAAGGTGGAGTGACAGAGAAAGAGAGATTTTGCATCTGCCGGTTCATAGGCAGGAGCCGGGGACTGCATCTGGGTCTCCCATGTGGGTGGTAGGAAGCCAGATACTCCAGGCCAGCGTCTGCTGCCCCTCAGACATGGGGAACTGGGTCAGAAGCAAAGGCAAGACTTGAGCCCAGTGCTGCAGTGTGGTATATGGGTGTCCCAAGCAGTGTTTTAACCCACTGTACCATAGTGCGTGTCACTCTAATCTGTTGGTTTCTCAAATGTCTGGTACCACGGCCTTGATGCTAATGCTACGTTATTAACTGCTGGCTGACCTGGTGGTGTGAAGTTGAGCCTATCTGTAGCTTAGTATTTCTACTGTGTGGATCTGGGTTGCAGGGGCTGTCTCACTGTTTTCCAGGTGCTCTGTGCTAAGGGAGGAGATACCATCCCTCAGCTCTTGGTAGACTTTTGGGAAGCTCAGCTGGTGGCATGTGTCCCCGACGTGGCACTTCCAGAACTACTTTTCAAGCTCACATCACAGTACATCTGGAGGCTGTCTCAGAGGCAGCCCCCCGACACTACACCCTTGCGAACGTCAGAGGATCTGGTAAGACTGTGCAGTTACTACCCTAAGCCCATGCATTATGTCTATTTTTAATGACTCTCCCTCCCTGCAGTTTTCTCTTACCAGATATCTTATTTAAGCAGGAGTTAAAAAAAATTACACTTAAAAAGTTGTCTGTGACTCAGGTTGCCGACATTTTAAATGGCTTGCTTGCAGTATGTACCTTAGCAGGCACAACATGTGGGGAGGTGCTTTCCCCAAAATGTCCCTCCATCCCCACGTCTTCAGCAGACGTGCGTTAAGTAGGATATGAGAGCAGGGATGCATGCACACTTCCCGCCTGGGGAAGGGCCTGCAGAAGGCTTCTGGGAAGCTGACACCCTACTGGGCCCCATTGCCCATGAGCTGCGTGCAAGAAGCTGACCTGTCGCGTTCAAGGCAGCTGCGACACCTGTACCCTTTCTACTGTCCAACCTGCTCCAGCCCTGTGGGCTCTCGTGTCTGACTCGGCATTTGTCACTCAACATTTCTTGCTAACTTCTAGAATAAGGGGAAATTCATGAAGGTTGTCTTGAGAACCTCTGGAAGATATTTTGCCTCCCAAAGAAAATAATACCAGTTAAAATTAGTTTTCATGTTAACTCCTTTGGGGAAAAATTGGCTTCCAAGCAATTTTGCTCTTTTTGCTAAAAAGTGCTTTCTTTGGAATATTTGAAATTGTAAAATTTCAGGAAGTACATGGTAGAGATGATCAGGTGTAGCAGCATTAAGGCCGAAGCGTTTCCAAAGGGAATACATTCCGAACCTTGCGGTTCCGGGGAGGTGCTCTCATAATTCACAACATGGCGGGACATGGGTGATTGCCTCCCTAGTGTGGAGTTAATGAAGAAAGCGTTTTGCTGGCTCTGATGCTTTGTTTGTGATCGATTTCTTTTATGTTCTAGATAAATGCTTGTAGACATTATGGCTTAATATACCCATGGGTTCACATCTTAATATCATCCGAGTCTTTGGATGATAAAAACTATGCAGAAGACCTTTCAAAATTACAGGTAAATGAAACGCCTCTATTCTTGTGACTACATGTGAGGGTTCAGTGTAAGGTTTGAATGTGGTAAGACCTCAGGTGTCCTGTTCATCTGGAGTCTATTTTGGGAGCTCCCACCTGACGCAGAACTGCCAGTGGGTGCGGCACCTGGCCCGAGAGACTGGCTTCATCACAGATGGCTGCCCTTCTCCAAGGCGCGTGCCTGTTGTCCTCATTTCCAGGATGTGTCTGAGAACATTTTGTGAGAACACTGTGTGGCACCTGTTCAGTGATGTTTTTGTTGATGTGATTTTTTTAGTAATTTTTTAGTAACTTTTTGTACATTTTAGAACTCTAACCCTACCTGTGTTACAAGAAGATGTGAAGTAGCCAAATTCTGCAAGAATTCTGATCATGGAAATGGAAATTAGTAGAGTCCACATTTGGCTAGGTCAGGTGTGGGAATCTTGGATATTTATAGCATTATTTGTGAGCCATACAGGATTATCAACCTAAAAATGACCCTGCAGGTTAAGTTTATGGAACGTTCAGTTCCACCTATAGTTGCCTTGGCAGGGCCAGACCAAATGATTCTGCAGGCCTCACGTGCCCATGGACTGGGTGTTTCCATCCATGCATTAGGTGGAGTGGGATGGGCTAGATCTGTGAGTGAAGTCAGTGGCTTTAGTACCAGCTTTGACTCCTATCCATGCATGGTTTTGGTCTGTCCAATTTAGCTGTTTTCACATGAAAAAGTTAAGAATTCTGAATTTCAAGGTACTCTTGAAAAATCCAGGACAGCTGATTCCCCAAGATCCTCCCTCAGTTGCTTGGGAGACCTGAGAGTGCAGCTGGCTCGTGGTGCCCCTCCCTGGACGGTGTTAATGCTGTCCCGTCTGTGTTACGCTTCTGGGCTGCAGTGCCGAGCATTTGTTAATACCCAACTGCGTTCATGCATTTTTCATTTGGCTTTTTTAGACTTCAGAGTTTGCAGAATTTGACTTACACTTCTAGAAACTGATGTGGTTTTCTTACCAGGCCACAATGTCAAATTGGGGATGGGGTTAGGGAAGGCTGCTCGAGAAGCCAGAGTGCTTGCTCCTAGTGTGCAGAGAAGCAGTTACTTAGTTCTTCAGAACTCTTCAGATAAACCTCATGGTATCTGTTCTGTCTCTAGGACCCTTTTGATGCAATGACTTCTGGCAACAGCCCACATTCATTCCTTTCACAAACATTTCATTGGCACACACTGTGTATGTGGTAGGCAGTGGGCAAGACAGACAGGGCCTTGCCCCACCACAATTGACATGCTCATCTTTACCATCACAATTAGAAAAAGTTCTATTGAGTTATACCTGAAAAAGTTTCCAAAAGTGTAATTCATTGATCTTTTAAAACTTATTTTAAAGTATCTCAAAAAGCTGTATTCTACGTGGGACTCAAAGGATAAAAATGGTCTTTGTAGACCTTTCTAAATGTTTCTTGTAAATAAAGCTCTTTCTAGATTGCCTGTGAACTGATTAATACTAGTCATTAAGAAAAAAACATTGTCACCAAGAAACAAAGCCATTTCATTGTGTCTTACTTTGCAACTTGGGGACATTCATCATGCGACTCTCCTGTCCCCATAGGTCAGGCATGACTCCCTACCTGGTGTCCTTAATCACCGCAGTGGTATTATTTGTGCAATAATTAAAAGCAATCTAGACGCCATCTGTGAGTCAGAAAGCCACTATTTGGGATGACAGAGTACTGCCCTGGGGTCCTGCCCTAGCTCCGTGCCGGCCACCCTTAGAACAACATTGTGTTGTCTGGGTTCAGAAAGAAATCTGTGAGTTAGACCTGCTTCTACTGATTTACCCATTATCCTGATTCGTCAAGATTATGATGTATAAACAATGTGTTTTCTTGTGTGTTAGGAGGTGGTACGAGTGGGAGATAGACACCGTACTTCATCTTTGCCATCACATTGTCAAAAATGTTTCAGATGAATGACATTAAACTTGGGAAGGAAAAGACACTAACCTTATTCTGCTAATAACTCCTTAGTAAATTTTTGAATAAAAAAGTCATGCTGATTGTGAATAAATACTTCATGTTCCATTTCCTCTTGTGAATCTGGGAAGGTGCTGTAACAAGAAGACATGGGGAGAAAAAAAATCAGGATGTGATTACCTCATCTTCATCCAGGAAAGAGGGGAAGAAGATTTTTTTTTTTTTGATCATAGATAGAAAATAGGGTATAGGTCCTAGTGTGATGGCTCAGTGGCTAAATCTTCACCTTGCAATTACCAGGATCTCATATAGGTACCAATTCATACCCAGCTGCTCCACTTCCCATCCAACTCCCTGCCTCTGGCCTGGGAAAGCAGTAGAAAATGCCCTAAAGCCTTGGGATCCTATACCTGTGTGGGAGACCCAGGAGAGGCTCCTGGCTCCTGGCTCTGGATCTGCTCAGCTCTAGCTATTGTAGCTACCTGGGGAATGAATCAGCAGATAGAAATCCTTTGTCACTGTCTCTCCTTTTCTCTGCAAATCTGCCTTTCCAATAAAAATAAATAAATCTTTAAAAAAAAAAAGTAGAAGTAGGATATATTGTTTAATTGTTAAATATTAATAAAGTTCGAATATTGAAATAATATTTACTCCCTTGTCATTCAACTTGTGCCAAAAGATATAAATACAGATTATCCAATTTTAATTGGTTGGTTCATTTTTTAAAAAACATGAAACTTAATAAAAAGTATTTATTTATTTATTTGAGAGGCAGAGTTACGGAAAGAGAGACACAGACTATGTTCCATGCTAGTTTACTGCTCACATGGCTGCAACAGCCAGGGCTAGGTCAGGACAAAGCAAACGGCCATAGCTTCATCTGAGTCTCCCAACAGAGTGGCAGGGTCCCGGGACTAGGGCCATCTTCCACTATCCCAGGCACATTTCCCACGAAGCTAGATCAGAAGTGGAGCAGCTGAGACTGAAACCAGCACCCATAGCGCTCATATGAAATGCTGGAGAGACTTAACCCTCTATGCCACAGCATTGGCCCTGAAATTTAATTTTTGGTTAAATATGTGATGGATGGTCATTAGAAAACACTGAAGAAGTACAGAGTATAAGAAGAAAACAAAACAGTGGGTTCTATTTTCCCTTTTAGGGAATTAATCTGTTTCATATGGTGATGCTTTTCTGAGGATATTTCTATATGTGAATTTTGCAAAACTGATCATGCTTTGGATATAATTTTGTATTGAAAGCTTTTACACTTAATTTCATCCTGAACATTTTCTCATTCACTGGTCTTTGAAAACAATTTTATTATTTTAACAATAATAATATTCCATAATATATATGTACTGTAATTTATTTATTCATTCCTATTATTGAATTTTTAGATTGTATCTAATTTCTCAGAATTATTGGGCCACAATGTTGATTATTTCCTTAGGACAGAATCCTAATGAATTCTCATTTTTTTTAATATGCAGTGCATGCAACATAAATAAAGTTATGTTATTTTAATAATGCTTACCTTCTATTAAAAATACACTTAACAGATATCAGAAATAGGTTTCACGATTTATGCTTTGGTCCTCTCAGATTAAGTAACATATGTATGTGTTTTAAATGATGTCTTTTAGACAGTATTGTTTGTTTTTAATTGAATTCTGTCATGTTTTATGTTCTTAAAAATTGTACTCTGTTGTGTTTTAATTTTCTGGGTGCACCATTCCATAACATTTCGCTTTTCTGTCCACAGTCCCTTATTTGTAGTCCTTCATTTGACATAGCTTCCGTTCTTCCGTTCCTGGAGCCACTGTCGGAGGACACGGTCGCGGGCCTCAGCGTCCACGTCCTGTGTCGTACCCGCCTGAAGGAGCATGAGCAGTGCATCGACACCCTGTTGGAGAGATGCCCGGAGGCTGTCATCCCGTATGCTAATCACGAACTGAAAGAAGAGAACCGGGTATGCCTTTCATGTGATGTTCCGGGCTTGACCAGTGATGATGAGATGTGAAGGTCTTGATTGAGCTGTGACATGGGGGCGGTTTATGCTTAGACCAACCTCACAGGGCTGAGTGGGTCTACTGAACGTGGGAGTTTCAGGTACGCGGTGTTCTGGAGACTGTTACCTGCTTTTCAAACAGTGAGGGATGGCGATGCTGTCATTTAGCAAGGCCTTTGTGTGGAGGCGAGGCAGGCGATCAGTTAGCACCTGGGAAGCATCATGTATGATGGGAAAATATTTTATGTGATTTATTGTCTTTAATTTAGAAGTTAGCAGAGTTTTTAGTGCTTTCTTCCCCTCGCCTACATTTTTTCATGTGAGAGATTATTGCAGGACGTTTCCATGCTGTGTCTTTTTTTTTTTTAAGAATTATTTTACTTTTTTATTGGAAAGTCAGATATACAGAGAAGAAGAGAGATAGAGAAGAAGACTTAGATCCATTGATTTACTCCTCAAGCGGCTGCAATGGCTGGAGCTGAGCCAGTGAGTCTAAAGCCAGGAGCCCAGAGCCTCTTCCGGGTCTCCTACACGGGTGCAGGGTCCCAAGGCTTTGGGCTGTCCTCGACTGCTTTCCCAGGCCACAGGCAGGGAGCTGGATGGGAAGCGGGGCTGCCAGGATCAGAACTGGCTCCCATATGGGATCCCACTGTGTGCAAGGTGAGGACGTTAGCTGTTAGGCTGCCGTGCTGGGCCCCATGCAGCATCTTAAAAACAGCCATGTACCTATGTGCAGCATAAATATGATTGGATTTTGAAGCTAGAGACCTTCTATGTTGCGATTTAAGCAGAAGACTGGCTGCTGACACAACTTTTGTTGTAACAAAATCGAGAGCCTTAAGCAAAATGATTGTTTTTGCCCTTTGCCTTCCAATTTTATTCTCATTGGAAATCTGACTGTGAAAAACTAAAATGTATTCATTTTTTCCTAAGATAGACCTTGTGGTGGAAGAAACTGCTGCCTGAACTTTGTCAGAGAATAAAATATGGTGGCGAGAAATACCAGCTTCATCTGTCGTCATTAAAAGGTGACAGCTCTTTCGTCTGATTATAGATTTAAGAGTTCTAAATGTAAAGAAACCTTGATATTGCCCTTTCTTCCACATGATTCTCCATGAAGTGGAAAGGGTTTTTAGAAGCATCTTGAGAGTTTACGTCAGCAATCATGTGCCCCTTCCCCAGCAGAGTTCTCATTCGGATGCCTTGTCACAGAGCTTATGTTCTTTCCAGTTCAGCTTTTCAAGCCCTTGACAGATTACCACGGGAGCTCCCAACTTCAATATATTTTTATAAATCTGAGCAGTCATCAAGATAATTATATTTTTTCACTAATAGTGTGGGTACTTAACTTCCTTTATGTAAGAAATTGAGATTTGTGTCATGTAAGCAAACATTGAGGAGTGACACATTCCTTAAAGGTTTGAGTGTCTCTCAATTGCGCAGTACTCATGGTTATTTGAATATTTATAATCTATCAGTAGTCATTTATACGTCTTACGAAATATGTGGTTACCAGTTTTTGTGCAATTATGTGTTAATATAACTTGTAAAATGTGTGATGGCCTTGATTCCATTGCTCATAGCACACTTGCATTTGACAGTGTTGAGATTGTGTTTTTCAGTGGAGATAACCAATTTTTTTTTAACTGTTAAGCAGAGCCATCGGCCATGGAGTCTTCTTTTCTGAAGACCTCCACTTAAAGTTAAATGTGGCTGGGAAGAGGTGGGGATGATGCCTGGTAACTCTTTGCCTCATCTGTTTAGCTTCTTTTTGGTTCTCAGAAGGTGGAAGTGTCAGGTGTTTAGTTGCTTTGCCCCACTGGCATTAGGTGTCAGATACCTTGTCATCAATGGTTTATGTTGATATCCTGCATCCTTGCATCTCAGCAAAGGACTCTCCCTCCTTTCCTGGTCCACATCCCCTGCCTCCTGAATTTACTGATAATCTACCTCCAAAGGTCCCATTTTTCGCTGTCACCTGTGTGTAGATCTGTGTGGGTGGGGCAGTGGCACCACCTGGTGTGTGCCATTGACCTTTACTAAGGGCTGTAACTCCTCGAGAGGTGGCATGTGCTTTAGACATCTTCCATATTGCATGCTCCTTGCCAGCTGTGTGGTTCCCGCGCAGAAAGCACCCTGTGAGTATGGAGCAATTGGTAGCAGACATCTGAAGTACTTGGGGTACAGCTCCAGGGAGTCTTTCTGTTGGCTGCTGAAGTATGTTGAAGAGCCCAGAGCTGGAGTCTGGAGAATGGGAACTCTGTTCCAGGTTTGCCACTTGGCTGAGTGCCCTGGAGGAAGTCAGCCTTCAATGAAACGGATGAGACCAACGAGAAGTTCAGGACTAACACTAGAGTACAATGTTACGCAAATGGCAAGAGAGTGAGGTTGGAGAAGGAGTTTAAGGATTTACGTAGTCTGTTCAGGCACTTAAATGTCTTAGTGCAGTGCTTCCCAACCTTGACGTTTTTGGGGGCAGAAAATTGTCCCTGTGTGTGGGGGTTCCCCTGTCTGTTCTTGGTTGTTGAACAGCATTCTCGGCCTCTGCGTACTGGATTACAGTGGCACCACCCCAGTAATGAGAACCCCAGATGTCACCTGAGGTCCTCTGGAGGAAATTATACTACTCAAGACCACTGCAGTAATGCAAAGCCATTGAAACTGGGTTTGCTGGATGTCTTATTTATTTTGAGGAAATATTTGTTATTTTTGCAATAATGAACTGTGCCTTTAAAAACATTCTAATATTTTTAGTAAGTTCCAAAGTTAAGGTTTAAAGGTCACCTAAAATCCCACCATCTACAAAAATCTATTTCAATAGTTAGTTTTTTTTAGACAACCTGAGTATATCTTAACCAAGTAGGTTTGTACTTAGATAGGTTATTTCTGGACAACTTGTAGGTTTGAGTGGCTGGTGAGTAGAGTAAAGCAAATTAATCCTTTTTTAACCTCACTTTTCCCAACTATTAGTCAGATAGCACCCACTGGTGTGTCATATTCTCTTTGGAATGGTCTTGAATTAATTAAAGGAATCTCACAGGACTCCAGAAGGAATTACATGAGAAATTACACATGAAAATACTCTACCACATTTTAAAGCACTCAGTGGATTTGAGGTATTGCCCTTTCCTTGATGTTAGAATGAGAGCAGCTTTTCAACGATCAGAGCAGAGGCGACCTGGGCAGTGATGGAATTTGTGTTGGCTACGTTAACTATTCAACACTCGCCACACCCCATGCCCAACTCAGTTTTTAGCATCAAGGATATTACTCAAAGGCTCCACATTTAGGAGTTAAACTGATTTGGTGGGAGAAACCTGGATAATTCATGTTTTTCACATCAGTTCTTAATTACTGCTTACTAAGGTTCTAGTATGTGCTGTTGTACTTCAGATCTCTTAGAAACCTACAAGCTAGCAGATGATTCTAGAAGAGGATCCTAAGCTTTCTTACACTCACTCACAGGCAGTGGGCAGAAGTCAGAATCCTTTTCGAAGTGTGCCTGGTTCTGGAGCTAGGCTTCTTGCCCATACGTCATTTATGTTTTAGCCACAGGTCATTCCCCTGCGTAAACTTTGAACACGGAGGAAGTGGTAGTTATGCCACGTTCACGCAGGGAGTGGCACGGCAGTGAGGATAGGTCTGAGACTGTGAATGGACAGAAAAATGTTTTTAAGCATCACCCTTCTCTTCCTTGGAGAGGACAGCATGTGTCCATGAAGAAGCAACACATCATAAAATTACATAGTTCTTATAAAACATTTGATGTGTTCCCTAAAATTGCAATTGCTCACTTGAGCACCTTCTATTGCTTTTTATTTAAAAAAAAAAAGACCTGTGGATGAAAATAGATTTGTGCTTATCAATAACATGAAAATCTGAGAGGAGTTCATTTAGGAAAAGGCTAATGGTGCTTCTTGTCCTAGGAGACATTGTGAAAAGTGGCTGCAGTGTGCTCCTAACCTTGACAGAGTGCTCAGGTAGCTAGAGGGGATGCTACAAATCTGTTGAAAGATAAACAGTGTAGGAATTGAGCAATGAGATAGCAAATCCAGATGGAATGGGGCTAATATAAAAAGCAAAGGTTTCTAGAAAGGATACATTAAGGTATTGCCGAAGACCATAAAGTGGTTTGGGATTTAAGAGCCCATCTCTTTTTTTTTTTTTTACACCCAAACTAACTTCTAATTGGTTGAGCGATTAAGAGGGACACTGGGTGAAAGACAAGCTCCGTTCTATCTTCTTTCCCACCGATAGAAACGTTGTCCGTTGTTGCTGTGGAACTGGAACTGCGGGACTTCTTGAGTGTTCTCCCAGAAGATGGCGCTGCAGCGTTTTTCTTGCCCTATCTTCTTTACTGCAGTCGGAAAAACTCACTGACTTGAAGGTCTCGTGCGGAAAGGAACACAGTCCTGTATGAGACTCGAGTTTTTATATTCTGAATGCCAGGTAAAAACAGAAGCAAATAATTTTTTGTGTCATATAAATATATGTTTACAGATGTTTCCAGGCTAAGGTAAGCCTCAGATTGTAGTGGCAACCAGCAGTTTGCTAATTTATAACCTGAATTCATTTAATTGCCTATTCTGTTAAGCAAGCAAACAAAAGGCTTCAAGATATAAGAATTCTTCAAAAATGCCATGCATTTTAAAAGGTGGCTTTTATTCCAAGAAACAGCAATAACTCGTTGTTGTTGGAGAAATGACAATCATTTTCCATCCTAGGGACATTTTAAGGAAACATTTTACAAGGATACAAAATCATCTTCTTGGTCTTCCCAGATTTCTCTACTGGAGTAGTTAATAAAAAAAATTTTTTTTGGAAAGATGTTAATGTTTTGCCACGTTAAGACGATTTCAATCCTTATTTTCTTGTTGACTCTTGGAACTCATGCTGTTTCTCTCTGAATCAAATGAAGAAATTGACAAGGCAAACCTCTTTTCTGCCTCAGCATGGTTTGTTGAATGCATGCGTTTTTAGCCAAAGCCTTGTTTCTAGTTTTTGTTAATATATTTTCTTGCTCTTTAAAGAGTAAAATTGTGAAAATAAAGAAATACCCACATATCATGGTGTTCGTACTTGTCTTCCTTTTTAAAGCCTCATTAGAGAACTTCCAGTCCGACTTCAGCTTACTGTTAGTACCCTGAAGATTCAGTTAAGGCCAAACAATTCTTCCCAACAGTTGTCTGCCACACTTTGAGTTTTTCCCTGATTGGTAACAGTCCATTTCATCAGGATTTAAGGTTAGGAATTGTTTTTCAAATCCATTTTTCTCCAGTTCCATGTCCCGTTCTTTTGACCGTCTTTTTCCAGCGTTCTCCACATCTCAGGCATGCAACTTTCTACTTGATTTTTAAAATTTTCTTCCTCTACACTTTGCTCCCATTGGCCCACTGGTTCATTAGGAGTGATGTTTGCCCGGTGCGGCCGAGATGGATGGGATGGGAGTGGGCAGGGGCATCCCAGTGAGCCTTCGATGATCTCTAGGAACCATCCAGGCCAGCATGTGACTTCATGTCTTTCTTGTTGGAAAGCAGTTTTGTAAAGCTCTTATAGCATTGAGTGGTCCCTGTGAATCAGCTCTGCTACCTCCTATGCAAGTGCCAGCCACATATCCTAACAATCTGTTTGTCTTTCATCTGCAAAACATTTCCCCCACAAATGTACAGTGTCAGATTAAAAAAAATTTTTTTTTTAGAAAAGATATAGCCATCCAAAGTAAGCATTCTATTCAACACTTTCACATATATTGTCATAAACCATTGTTTTTCTTTTCTTTTTTTTTTTTCTCCCACTTATCACCTTGTCTTTCAGCCAGACTTGGTCTCTATAGAAAAAGAAATATTAAGACCATTATTTAAGATAGTATATATTATAGGATTAAGTACGTTGTAGTAAATATCTACTGCTGAATGAAAGAGCTAAGCTTGGCAGTGTGATGCTACTTGCTTATACCTGCAATGCCATGAAACACTGAAACAGCAGAGGTAAGCTTATGGCGGGATGGGCCCGCAGGGAGGGAAAAGGGGCAATCGTTACACCTACAAAACTGTATTATGGAAAATAATAGTCAAATTAATACATGATGTTTTAAATGCAGTCTCATTTTAAAATGTTAGCTTGCTTAATCATTCTTTATGATTTTCTTTCATATTTGAGAATATCTCATAATACTACTACTTCGTGAAAGAAAAAGGAATTTCTTCCCTACAAAGTCTTTCTTCATTTTGAAGAGGAAAAATAGAACTTGAAATCTTTCAGAAATCACTTTAACCCAAGTAATACTGAAAAAAAAAATAGTAGCTTAGTGCGTTGTGGCTGTTTGAGAAAAATAGCATCATCTCTGCCATGGTCTTGCCAACAGTGAACTTGGTCATGAGAAAACAAAGGACAAAAATCCAAATTATAGTCCATGTAGTCAATTTATATGCTTTCTTTTTTTTTTGCCTATTTTGAGGATAAGGCAAAGGAGTTTGTTTCCTTTTTCCCCTATGGGGACTGTCATTTTCAATTCCAATAATTCTGAACTTAAAAGAACCCAGAATGACCAAAGCCTACAGTCCCATTTCACTCTTCACACATATTGTTGACTTGTAGTCACACACAGGCTGTTTGTTTTCCTGCAAGTGTGTGCTTGAGTGGGTGTGGAGGGAGTCGCAGTGGTTGGGGAGCAGGGAGTCCAAATGGCTTTGCTGGGTCTTTCACAATCAGTGGTCAGTGATGCCTCCCGTTCCCCCGGATGCACAGAACAACACTGCCCTGATGGATTCGCTGTGACTGTATTGATTATTTGAAGGACCTCTGGCTTGTCCTAAGTAATGAAATACTATTCAGAAAAAAACAGTCATGTTTTACGAAAGACATTAAATCCTAAATGTGTCTTTTGTAAGCTGTGCTTGGTTTTGGACCAGCAGGCATCATGACTACCTCCTAAGTGCTTTGGGTAGAATTACACTGCTCTGTATTGGTATCCACTTGTGTTAACTTAGAGCCCACTGGTGCTGTTTTAAGCACTGACTGTCAGGAAATGAGTACTGTCCTACATCATTTCGCAGTAAAAATTTCCTGGTTGTACTTATAGAAGGGAGAAATCAGAACAACAAATTCACAAATGTTCCTTACTGGGGCAAGTATTTAGGCAAAGTACTGCGTAATAGTTATATTCATGACCTTCGACCTCTAGGATTACCACGTGGGTATTCACCTGTATTTGGTAGGACCGTGTAGGTAGTTTCCATTCCAGCATGGATGTGGTCAGTCACATGGCAGTGGAGTAACCAGATTCCAGGTGTTTCTGGAAGCATTTCTACAGTTTGGTATGTTCCCGGGAAAATGTCAAAGACATCAGAACTGTACATGCCTCTATGCTTCATTAGAAAAAAAGAACAAATATTTATTACTATTTATGGAAGTTAACTCACATAAAATTTCCTTCATCAGCACAGGATTACTAGAGAAATTGATAAATGAGTTCTAAAATGAATCCCTGCACCATTGCTGTTTGAGATACAGTATGATGACCATGGCCTAGAAAGCAGGGAGGAAGGAAAACCCACCAAGACCACTTCAGCTACAACACCTCTACTCTGATTTGGTTCTTCGTGGGAGAACTTGTGTGCTACTGCAAGGAAGTGAGCTGTGATCCCTAACCTCACTGCTAAGCCTATCCCAGCCTGAAACCTGCGGACAGGGAGAGTGACAGGGGAGCCGAAAAGGTTGCCAAAGGAGAAGCCACAGAACAGGGACAGTTCAAGGACAGTCCTAACTGGACACAGGAGTTGGCACATTTCTGCAGGGATAAAATTCAAAGTCCAGGAGGTTTTATGGCACAGTGGGTAAAGCCACTGCCTGTGCCGCTGACATCCATGTAGGTATGGGTTCTTGTGCCAGCTGCTCCACTTCCAATCCTATTCCCTGTGAATGGTCTGGAGAGATCAGCAACTGATGGCCCAAGTGTTCGGGCTTCTGCCAGCACGTGGGAAGGCCAAATGCAGCTGACAGCTCCTGGCTTTGGCCATCATGACCATCTGGGGAGTAAATCACCAGAGAAAAGACCTTTATCTTTCTCTTCCTATCTGTAACTCTTTCAGAATTAAAAAAATAAATAAATCTTATTTAAGAAATTGAAAATCTAAGAAAGTAAAGGAAAGTTGCAGAAAGTTCACGGAAAGCATGTATTAGGGAAAGATGCATGAGTTTCAGATTTTTTTTTTTCATGCAGCCAATAAACATCTTTTAATTAATTTCTCAACAAACTTTTCGAAGTACTACCCTTGTATCTAGGCGAAGCAAGGTGCAGAGATAATAAAATGAACCTTCTGCAATGTGCTTTGCAGTAGCTTCTCCATTTTCTACATCTATTTAAAGGTAAGAAAAAAAGGGCCACTGGTTCCTGGTGAGATCAACACTAGGAAAGGAAGCAAGTAGGATTGGGATCTAGAGGCAGTTGAGTACTAGAAACCTGGCTGGTGATCTTGCTCACTTCAGGCCATCTGAGAAATACAGCATGTCACAGCAGGCAAAGATCACAGTAAATACCCCCTGGTCTGATGCCCCCTGGTCTGGGCTCTGCTTTTCAGTCACTACATGAACACTGTTTCTCTGCCAGTAGTTCAGCTCGGATGCTTTTACTCAGGAGTGTGTTTCAGAATTTCATGCAAATGCCATAAAAACTGCAAATCTGAGGATGAACACAAGATGTAACTGACTGCTTTGTCAGTTGGAATTGCCTTGCGCTCCAGTCTTCAATTTTTTTTTTCATGGTTCTCTGGGGAAATATTATCTTTGTTGTAGAATATTTCCAAATATAGTAAGAACAAGAAAAAGCACCACATAGAGTTCTCACCTTGTATCGGAAGCTGTGGCCGTGAAAATGTACAGTGTGCAAGTCTATTTCATTGCCCATCCCCATCAGGTACCAGTTGACTTCATCACCCGTACGCATGGTGAGGCCATGTAGATTTCCAAACATTCTTCCATTAATGGCTGGGAAAGCACACAATGTTGTGTTAACCTCTCAGGACATTTTAAACCAACAGCTTGATAGGTTAGTTGAAGGACTTCAAAAAATGTGATAGAGCTTATGCCGTTGTTAGTGGAAGAAAATGAATGCTATTATGTTAATGCTGTCACACTCTGTTTTTCTACTCATGTTATGTGGAAAGCCTTAACCTTGGTTGCGAGGCAGAAGTGATTGCCTTTAGAATGAAGCAATGAATAATCTCCAAAGCGATTTTACTTGAGAGAAGAAAAAGGTGGAAAAGGGTAGGAATGATTTCAGAATAATCATCATACCATGCATTTTATTGCTTTCTATAAATTCCTCATCATCTTTGTCTACTTTCTCAGGGTGTTCAGAGTAAGTTTTGATGTTGTCATCTAAGTACCAAGATTCATTCTCATCAAAGACTAAAAACAGAAGGCTAAATTCCACTTTCTTTATGGGATTGAATACTTCTAGGTAGTGTTTCCGACAAACAATCAGTGGGCCAATCAATCCACTGTAGAGATCCTGAAATCAAGCACAAAGCCCAGTCAGCCCTGCGGTGTGGCTCAGAGACCCGCAACCTTGCCACGCATGGCCCAGGCGATGGTGGAGGGGCAGACTAAAGAGACCTGCAACCCTGCCACCCATGGCCCAGGCGATGGTGGAGGGGCAGACTAAAGTTGACTTGCCCAATGTGGTGCTGCCCACACTTAGTACACTTATTGGAAGCAACTGAGTTAGAGCCGTAGGAATAACAGGTAGGTCACACTGGTGATACTGAGGTAACAGAGATGTGTGCAGAGGGAAAAAGATGTTCTGGGCTAATGGACAGCAATGTCAAAGAACCCCAGATGGACACCGTTGGTTTGTTTACTCCATTCACCTATTAGCATGAGTTAAGCACTGTTCAACATCCAGAGGTGAGTCAGACAAAGCCTAAGGCCCAAGTCTAGGAGGGAAAACAGAGGAATAGAAGAAATGGAAGAAACTACTAAAATGGGGACACCTAGAATGCTAACAGGCACAGAGGAGGAAGAGCACTGCAGGCTGTTAAATCTATGAGGTTTCACTGGGATTGACATCAATAAAAGGCAGATTAGATCTTGACAGAGTTCAGGGTCCTTTAAGAGCTACTGGTGCTAAGTGCCTGTGAGAATGCTGGTGACGATGTCCGCAGACAGCGCTGGCTCAGGACAGTCGTGGACCAGACATCTGCAAATCAGTTGAGGTATGTCTTTGAATCTGTGCCTGTTGAGTGTTACTTGACTTTGAACTATCGCGTCAAATAAAAACTAGGTGGATTGTGGATGACTGCCAAGATGAGTTTTTTCATTCTGAAACAATGGAACTCTTAAGTCACGGACCCCAAAGGGAAATAAGAGCATTGATCTTTAATTTCTGTAAGTGTTAATCCTGTGGGAGTTGTAACTGTATCTCTGAAAAGAAGCAAAACTAGATAGCAGAGAAAGGTTTTTTTGGAATGTTAGATCAGAATTACACCACAGGAAAGCTCTAACCTCATCTTCCTCCAATTGTGTATCTATTTTTGGGAATTGTCTCAAAACACAAGTGATTTAAAGTTTACCTTAACTCGATCCACAGTTGAATAGTAGGCCCAGGGAATGCAAGCCAAATCCTCCTTTCCAGCTCCAGATCTATCTGGGATTTGCCATATGTATGTGCGAGTTTCACCTGAATTAACAGAGTGGTAATGTAGTTGGTTATATCTGGCTTATGTTTGACATACCTGAATTATGAGAGCCAATGACCAAGGACCTGGAAGTGGCTGGGTAATCAGCTTTTAAGACTCGTGGCACTCAAAATTATTTTTAGGAAGTTAGTTTTAAGGTAAATTATAAAGCTTTTAAGTCAGTTTTGCCAACGATGGATTAATCAGCCAAGCGTGTTTCTATCTTGTTGTGAAGCCACGGCAATTCCAATCTCATTTGAAGACAGTGCACAGCTCATCTTCTCATAGCCTGAAGTATGTTTTCCCAGTATACTTTTCTTTTCTTCATAACACTAAGTGATTTTCTCTAGTGGCTAGCTCCTTGTCATCCTGCTATCTGTCTGTTGTCTGGCCTGGCCCGTGTCCTTCCCCCAGCTCCACCAGTTGACCCCTACCATCACTCATCCACATGTCAGCCTGAGCAGCCCTTTACCAAAAAAGCCCATATCAAATCATCACCTCACATGGGCATTGAGACCCTGGCCTCTGAGATGCTTCCATCCAGCTCTGCTCTCCTTGGGGTTCATCTGTCCCTTGTTTGTTCTCACCTCTGGGCTTCTTGCTGCTCCTCAGGCACATCAAGTGAGACAAATGCTCCCACGTGGGACCTGGAATTCCTTCACTGGCTCATCTGAGTTTCATGACTTCTCATCATTGAGATGTCTACCCCAATAGCACCTTACGGAGGTCCTGACCACTCTGCCTAAAATACCTCCGCAAATACTATCTGTTGCCACACTGAATCTTTCTCATAGCAATTTTTATTAGTTGCTATTTGTACATTTATCTCTTTAGGGAGAAGGTGAGGGCCATGAAGGAAGAGGTTTTTATTTTGTTTTCTAGTCCCCTGGTTTTGTAAGTCTATTTTTTCTCATTTCATTTAGGAACTGCTAAATGACTGCAAAATGGTCTTTTCATAGGAGCCAAAGTTAGATCTGATGGAAGAAAAATACAACTTTCATGAAAGGAAAGCACACATTTATATTTATAATGAATTTCATATTTTCCTGAATGTTACTTAAAGGAACATTTGCTGAACTCCTAGGTTGTGCCATATACAAGACTAGACAGTGAAAGGAGAATTAGAACTCCAGATAGCAGCGTCTTGCCCTTCGGATCCCATCTGTGGGAGGCACGGTGGAAACACTGAGCCACATGCCATGCAGCAGATACCATGTGATGGTTGTTCTAGCTGGAGGGGAGGGGCAGCTCTGTGACTCACACTTGAGTATGTGTTGATGTCTGCTGCCTTTAGGGTTTTTCCATTTACCATGCCTGTGGAATATTTTGGTACGAGCATTGTACATACACTTGGCACATACACACACACACACACACACCTTGACCTTTCTGTATCACCTCTTACCAACAGCAACTTTTTCAAGTCAACACGCTTTGGAAGGCTATCTCTATGGCAAACGAAACAGAACTCCAAAGTTTTCAGTGGCATCCCCTCCCATGAGTACCTGGCAATGTTGGAGTCACCGTGGGACTCTGAGTTTTCACCCCATGGGCATGTATTGAATAGGGCCTCGTGGCCATGTTTTTGAAGATAATTTTAACTTCGTCTCCAACATCTGCATGAAGCTGTGGACCTGGTAAAAATGAAAAGGAAGAGTGGGTTACTTAACCTGTCGTATTGGAAGTTCTAACGGGGTAACAAGTGGCTTTCTCAGCATCAGTCAGGAATCTTCTTCCTTGTAACCTTATGCTGTAATACTTTTGGATTAGACCTGGTTTGGGAAAAATTGGAATAACAATGATAGAAATGGCTAAAGCTAGAGACCCTGGTGTACAGCCACTCTCAGAAATTCTGAGGGAAGTCTTGGGCTGTTGCAGTGCCTGCCCGCTGCTTGCCACTGGGCCCTCCAGACATTCCTCAGCATGAAGGCGGCACAGTGTTGTATGAGAAAGGGTGGGGCTACCCTTTCTCATTTTCATCCCCTGTGTCTTTTTCTGTTTCGCCCCCAATAGCATTTGTGTGATGCAACAACAGTGTCGTTTCCCCTGGACGCTCCGAGAGCTGAGGATAAGCAAGTCCTTGGGAACTCTGAGAGTCTGAAGACTGTGTGAAAAGGGGTGGGTATGGCGCAGGGCACAATGTCCATTGCACTTGATGATTTTCAAGAGATTTCCCATAACCCAAGTTAGTCCAGTTCTTGGACATTGTCTTAAAGTGATTCCCCTGCCATGTGCATAATAGCACCTTTTCTTTTCTGATTTCCTTGTCTATATTTCTTGTAAGCAACCATCTTCATCTTATTGTAAAAGTAAACAGCTATTGTGTTTTGATGGGGTGAGCTAATGAGACACATCTGGATACTAATTTTATTTAAAAGTAGTTTCTAGGAACCTGACAAACTTATAGAGGCATCAATTTGCTAAACACAAAATATATGCAACATCATCCAAATACTCTATACTGTGCGATTTCTGGAGGAAATAACATTTTCTCATCTATGTTCATTAGTAAATAAAGGCTTGTCATTTTAAAAATTGAATATCACCTTTCATTTAAATTAGTTTGAAATTGGAAGTGAGAAAATGAAACTCATGGATGTGGGTGGATGTGATGGCGCACGGCAGGGCGGGCCTGACCCACATCCAAATGTAGCAGCTGGCAACCCACCTAGAATGCCGAGGTGTTCCTCTTCGGCTTTTCTCGCCACTGGCACTGTGAATGTGCTGTCTGTGTACTCACGATACACGACTTTCCTGTACTTGGAGCCTATGTAAAACTCTTCTTTATCTAAAAATACATTGGAAACACTTTAAGACAAAAAAAAAAAAAAGTTAAGGTTAGTCTTGGTCTTAAAAGTGGATGTTTCCCCTTTCAACTTTGAATATTGATAAGATTTTATGGAAGCAATTATGGTTATTTCCTATCCTGGTAAGAGAAAAGTACGAGTTTTTAAAAACAGACACCTGACCACCCGAGTGGCATCACCCGAGTCCTGGCCCTGACTGATGCCAGCTCAGATGACCTTCATCTGGCCATTGCCTATCTTCTTCACCCCTGGAAGATAACCAATCACCACCTCTCAGGTTTCTTAATAGCCACAAAATTTTTGTGAGACTGGAGCTTGCTGATGTTGTCATCTTGTCTTCCTGCATTATTTCTGGTCTGTGGGAATGGAAATGATGCATTATTTCAATCATTTCCTTTTTCTAAAGTTGTCACTGACTCCTGACACGGCCGGCAGCCTTTCAACCATTTTATCCCAATTACGGAAATAACCTTTTATCCTTTACACTACACGCCAACTTCCCAGGCACACTCCAACTACCCTGCTAACCACTGCCTCGCTGCAGGTCACCATTGTGCTGTGTGCCCCAGATTTCAACACCTGCACATCCGCATCCCTCCAATCATGGATTGACAGATGTGAGGGGACAAAGAAAATGCCTGGAAAAGCAGGAAGGGGCTGACCACAAGCAGCAGGTGGTACAGCAGGTGGTACTGCTTCAGTTTGTTTCAACTTAATCGACGTGTTCCTCTTCCATGGCACACATGCTCCTGGTGATTTTGAACATTTTTTTGTAAGTTCTTGGAGGGCACAGACCATACTTGCTACACCGCTGTCAAATATTGAAAATACTCTTTTGTGCGTAACTGACATTAAGAATGTGAAATGGCTCATTGTTAAACTAATAATAAAATTTCTGGAGAAAATGTTAGAAAAAGCAGCAAGTAGTTAGCAAGGGAAATAATATCTCAGGCCTGAATGTAGGCATTACTTTTGGTTAAGTTTGAAAACAAATGGCAAGAAATGAGCACATGAGCATGAGACAGTCATAAAGGAAATACACATGGCTGCTTCCAAAGCATCAGTGAGATCTATGGAATATTGAGAAGAGAGGAATGAGCTTCCGGTCTTACGAAGTGTTTTGTTGTTTTCTCATTGTCTAATGCTCCACTTGTTTTTTTGTTTGTTTGTTTTTAAGATTTAGCATAATTCTTTTCTTCTCTGAAAGAGAAACTTACAAGTGAAAAAAAAAAACCTGGGAAATAGAGTCTGGGGAATTACTTTTGCTCTTGTAAATGATGCAGCTCCTTTTCCCATTTCCTGCTTGGGGAATAATCCCATTCCACTTCCACTGCTGCAATGTGGTAGCTCCTTTGTCCCCGGTAGACGACCGGGCCCTCGGACAGCCGCCTGCATTGATCCACAGTGTATTTTTGCTTCATGCCGCCTGTGTAATGATCGGTGGTGAGGCACTCAACATCGAAAGTTCCTGGGGTGATAAAAAGAAACCGGATCACTCTGTACCCTCTGTGCTCCTCGGCCGGCACCTACACACCCTCTCCCAGCCTCTCACAGTCAACACCAAGGTCAGGCAGAGCCACAGAGACAAGCAGGAAGGGAAGGAAAGAGCTGTTCCACCTGCCTATTCCCTGCACGGCTGCCACAACAGCCAGGCTTCCGTCAAGTCTGAACCAGGAGCTAGGTCTCTCTGCGAGTGGCAGGGGCCCAGGCCCTTGAGCCACTGTCTGCTGCTTACCAGGACACCTCGGTTGGGAGCAGCATAGCCCAATGGGTCCCCCAAGGAGCAGCTCAACCCATGGGGCCACCCCGTTGTTCTACTGAGAGAATCTTGACCCTTCCCCTTATGGTCCCCGTTCCTTTCCCCTTTCCTGTTTTTCTTCATGTACTAATAAGCAATTGACATTTACATGAATGTTCTTTTTTGTGTCTTTCTCATTACATTAGCATTTCAGTTCCATGAGACACTTTTTGTCCATTGAACCATCTCTTATTCATTGTTGTATCTACATTGTCAAATGAAGGAAATGATGACATTGAATCTAAAGCCTTAATGGCACATGAACCAGATAAAAACTGAAATAAATCAGATTATTTTTACATTCTGATTAATTTTTTTGTAATTTATTTTTATTCATTCGGAGCTAGACCTGTAGGTGTTTCTGAATTTGCATAGCAATAGTTCCAGTATAGAATGATTCAATTGTAAGCCACTAACAAACCAGCAACACGGCCAGGCTATGGAGATATGATTCAAAGTTTTAGATGTAGTTTAAATGGGAGTCATTTCCCCTGTAGTCTGATTTTCCGGTTGCTTTTAAAAGAACCATAATTAAAAGGGTATCCCTATTGGTTCCTGGAGACTTGGTGTTAAAACTGTACCTTCGGAATCAGGCCTCATGAACAGCCTGACACTTGTCTGGGGGAAGAGGTTTGCGGTGTCTCTCCTTTCTCCTCTTGACACGTAGGTGTTTCCTGAAAAGTATATCCCGTGTACGTCGGCCTCGTTTCCAGCACTGAACAAGTACCACAAGACTGAGTCTCCCTGGCACATACTGAGACCGGGCTGGTTCCCATACATAAATCCGTTGATGGCTGGAAGAAGGGGAAATAGCATTGGAAAGGGCTTGAGATCCTACTCCAGGGCAGTTTTCTGGACTGTCCAGAGTCAGCTCTGTTGAGTGTGTGTGTGTGTGTGTGTGCGTGCATGTGTGCCTGCCTGCCTGCTGAGAGTTTTGCTACAAACCCTGTCCATCTCCAACACCAGGCTGAAAACAAGCAGAGCTGACTCATCGTCTCCAGCATCCTGGGCCTCAGCCTGGTATTTGCTGCTGTAAGGGTGCGACTCTAGTGTCGAGAGACTCTAGTGTCAGTTCTTTGGTCAGATTCCTGAGTAGCCAGTTTTCCATAATAGGGGTTTCTTTGGAGCATTATAGGCCTGCAGTGTGTTCCTGTTCTAAATAAAAATGTCTCCAGTTTAACTTGAATAATGCGAAAGTGTGTGAGAGTACTGTAAAAAGTTCCTGGAAAATACAATTAAAATATGTATCGTGGTACAAAAACACAATTGGTATTCATGCATAGCTTTTGCATAATAGCCATTGTCCACGAACTATTTGAATACTCCTTGTATATCATGGATTCCATTTTTTTTTGTAGCTAAATAAACATTTTTAATTCCATTTTCCATGAACTTTTGAGTACAATTGTGTATTCAGAATTTTTTTTGTCGCTGATATTTTCAATGAATGATATTTTTTTAATCAGATTTTTATTTATTCAGGAAAGGGAGTGTCTTGACTTCCTTGGGACCCATGTAGCACAGTGGCTTAAGCCACTGACTGCAACACTGGCATTCCATGTGATCACCAGTTCAAGTTCCAGCTGCTTTGCTTTTGCTCCAGCTCACTGCTGACCCGCCTAGGGGAAACAGTGTAAGATGGTTCACGTGCTTGGGCCCCTGTAGCCCATGCTGGAGACCCCGTGTAGTCCCAGGCTCCTGGCTTTGGCTTGGTTCATCCCTGGCCATTGCAGCAGGTGGAGAGTGAACCAGTAGATGGAAGGTTTCTCTGTAATTTTTTTTTAAATAAATACATCTTTTTAAAAGAGGAAAAAGAAAACAAAGAGAGCAGAAGGATAGAAGAAAGGAAAACAGGAAAATAAAGCAAGCAAATAAACAGGCAAGGAAGGAAGCAAAAGTGGGAAGGAAGGAAGGAAGGAAGGAAGGAAGGAAGGAAGGAAGGAAGGGTGGATTAGATAAGATAGATCTCATATCTTTTGGTTCACTCTTCAAATGTCTGCAATAGCCGGGGCTGGGTGAGGGCAAAGCCAGGAACCAAGAGCTCAATCTGGGTCTCCCACCTGATCGACAAGGACCCAGCTAGCCCAGCTATTTGAGTCATCTGTTGCTTGTCAGGGTGCCCATTAGCAGAAAGCCAGAGTCAGGAGTGGAGGCAGATTTTGGATCCAGGTAATTCAGTGTCGGATATGGGCATATCAGTCAGCTTTAACAGTTACTTCACACCTGCCCCCACTGGGTAATACTTTTGGCGATTACCAAATGCAAAAATGCAGCATCAAAAACAATATGTTACAGATTAGGAATAGTGTGGTTAGTATCAGTCTACCTGAAAAAATATCTATTTGTAATAGAATTATGCAGCTTTCTTTATATTAGCTACGATAATTTTTATCTTGTCCACTAATTGTGTGGGTCTTCTGAACAATCAGCTCACTGTCTAAACTCTTAACAACTTTTTATTACTAAATTGGAAACTAAGAAATCTGATGCTAGATCCAGTGACACAAAAATCTCTGGGGACTGTCCTGGGCATTGGTAGTTTTTTGAGCTTCCATGTGATCCTAATGTGCATTTAAAGCTGAGCATCACTTGAATACAGAGGTCATATCTGTACACATTAAGCCATCAGATGCGCCTGTCATTGAGCTATGGATTAGAAGAGCATGGAATCCAGTAGCTCTCCAGCTTCAGCCTGTATCAGAATCAGCCAGTGAGTCTGTTAAGCATAGGTTCTAAAACACCTCATTTCTAATTCAGGGTTGGGACCCAAGAAGTTGCATTTCTCAGAAGTTTCCATAGGATGCTAGGCCACACTTTAAGAAGCACTGATCTAACATACTTTGTATGTCTACTCCCAGGTAAGCATAAGTGATCAACACATTAAATAACTTGTGATATTTCCCTCAGAGCATTATTGTTCTTAAATCATTTATTGGAAATTAACCAGTGAGCAAAACCATTTGCATTTTGGTTTAATTGAAAACACTATTGTGTAATACTGAAATAGATAGATATGCGAGTGGTGTAGTACTTACAGTGCATCTTATTAGATTCCTGGAAGTCAGGATCATCCTTATCCACCTGGTCAGGTGCACTTGTAAACATTCTAATGTTATCATCCAGGAGTAAACTCTCATTCTCATCAAACACTGTGGGAAACAAATAGAACTCCTTGTCCACATCTTTCTGCAAATCAAGAACAATGAAGTGGAGACAGAATAAATAAAGTAGAAGATGTTGATGGACAAAATACTGTTTATATACACACAGGGGAAGGAAAGGGATGCAAAGAAAACTCCATTTTCCTCTTTCAACATGGGCTCAGCCACGTTGAAATATTCCTGTTGACCCACTGAAGCTTCCACAGTATCAGTTGAATAGCTTTAAGGTTATATATGTTCGTCTGAAGCCTCTTGCGGAACCTGAAAGATCTGATTCTTTTCTTCCTGTCTTCTATTGCAGATTCCCCATACCAATCAAAACCATAAGTAGTTAAAATAGGGAGGAAATTTGAGTGTCTGTTGGGAATGACGGAGGATGATGACCAGTTTCGGGAAAACTCAAAGATTTTCAGAGCAAGTGAAAGAAATTTGAGAGCCTAAGTGAAGAAATATCCTGCCAGGAAGTTGATAGAGGGATTCCCACAATCTCCATCCAGCTGGACCGACACTCGTACTCTGCTTCTCAACTCCTGGTGAAAAGCAAGGAAGCAGAGAGTCTGGCTGGTCTGTGCTATGAATCCGTCATTCAGAACAGGGAGTCAAAGCACAGAGCCCTGAGAGCAAGACACGCTCTCCAAGGGGCACGCTCCATACTGTTGCTTCATCTTCCTGGAGAGCATTTTTTCAGATGGAAAACTTGGTCAAGTTTAAAACCTCCAACAGGCAGAGAGCTGGATCAGTGGTGAAGGCAGTTCAAAGACAGTTGTTCAGTCAGAGGAAAGGTTTCAGGATGAGAAATACACACATGGGGATAATTTTAGGAACACAGAAATTATAGAAGGGAGACATAATCTTGAAAAGAAAGTATTCATCACGATAAAGGACAAAAATTAGAGCACTCAGATTCAGAAGTTTCACTGCAGGGCAGATGTGTGGGAAGCTGCTCATGTCCCATAGCAAAATGTCTGGATTTATGCCTGACTTTGCTCTTAACTCCAGCTTCCTGCTGCTGCAGATCCTGGGAGGCACTTGATGGGTACTTTTCAAGCATGAGTGAGACTTGGATTGAATTCCCTTTGAAACAGGACCCTCAAGAGCAAACCTCTCCTGACCTGACAGGTATCCACTGCCTGACCTGAACATACGCTCATCTCCAGCTCCAACTAATCAGGAACAAGGAGCATCGGGACCAAACCCCAGAAGACCCAATACTGTCTATCTTAGGATTTTAAATGAGCCTGCCACATGTGCAGAGCAGCCCAGTATCAGTGATAAAAGGACTTTCCTAGAAACGCAGTAATGAACGTTACCACCATTCTGAACGTGTTATGCAAAAAGAGCAATTGCACGGTCACTGAACACTAAGTTGGGTGCACACATTCTCTTTCTAAATTCCTCTCAAATAGATAGTTTTCTAAAAAAAAAAATTTTTTTTTCACTGAAGAGAAAATAAAACTAGTAATAGAGACTTTTACTTAAAGATAGCCTAGTATTAAAGATAGAATTTAATTCATGTTTTAAATGGTTCCATGAAAGGAATAAATCAGCTTGACATTTCCCTTTTTGATACTAAACTTCAACACTGGTTGAACTGAGCAGCATCTTAACTGCCAGGCCTAACACCTCGGCAGAGTCAAACATAATTCACAGGCCACTTCTTTTATGTCTGTAAGAAGCAGATTATCTCTTACTATTTAAATTTATTCACAATATTTTTATTCAAAATCTTCTCTATGTAATGATGCTAGTACAATTACTTATATTAATGATGCTAGTACAATTACTTATATTGATGATGTTAATATCAGCAAATAATGTCAAGCAACATTAGTGGATCACAAGGGGTGTGATCATTTGAATACTGCTTGAAATAAAAGTTGTAAAACAATTATAAGGCAACTGGGGAAATGTGATCTTTAAATATTTGATGATATTAAGGAGTGTAATTATTAGTTGTGGTCATTCTACATAGGACTATAAATAAGACATTTAAAAAGAAATCTTTTCCCTTTTAAAGGTTTTTGCTTAAATAGAACTAACAGCAATGATTGGGTTGTGTGTTGCTAGATCAAAGATTCATTTTATATTGCTGGAGAGTATTTTAAGTAATATCTCCTTCAGTGTTCACTGAATCAGTGTTCACTGAATAAATTATTTTTAAAATGTGTGTGTGTTAAAATTCAAAATTCAATTTTAATCAATCAAGGCCTTGAATCTCATGGAGAAATTTTGTTTCCAGTCCATCTTGAAACAGTCATATCTGGCAGAAAATCTTGGCCCGGTAAAGATCTTACTTGAAAAAAACATTTATAATAAGCATTGGATGTAGAATCTTCACAGTCTCAAAACCCAGAAACTTCTCTGTGATAATTATAATTCACAGACACCGGCAATGAATGTATGTTCAGGCTCCAGGATCGGCCTCACCTGTTTGCCATTCTCATGCAAACTTCCTTTCTTGCATATCTTCATGGGTCCAATGAGCCCAGTGAATATATCTTTGGTGGGGTGCACGGCAGAGTAATACATCTTGGACAGGCACACCGGATCTGCATGAGTGGGCCCTACTTCTCTGGGGACACTCCATTCATAGGTGAAGCTTTCTGTGGGTGCCACATGAGAGGCTGAAGGAGGCCCACCTGTAAGAAAGTCACATTGGACAGGTCAAGTGTACTTTGTAACGTGGCTCTCCAAGCCGCGATGCCGACAGGGTTGAGTGTAGGATGGTAGCCCCCTTCCTCAGTCCTTGTGAGTGTGGATAGATTCCACGTGTGCTGCTGTGTTGGGCAGCCTTCTTACCATTACCAGAACATTTTTAAAGTTGAAAACCAGCCAAATAGTATCCCAGAAATGGATACCTGTTATAACGCCACTAAATCACTCTTAGCATCCTAAATGATCATCTAATTAGGGCAGGACAGATTTTCACAAAGCTGTCGGGAATGGCAAAGAAGGGGCATTTATTTTGGGGCATGATGCCTGAAAACAGTACCTGGGCAGCTTGTTCAGAAGTTGCTACCTTCTGTTTTTGCAGGACTCTGCAAGCAAGCAAGCAAGCAAGCAAGCAGTACCAGGGTTATTCAACACGGTGCCGGATGACAGAGGCCCGTACTCACCGCCACTTGGATTGGAATGGGAAGCATAGTATGTGCCCTCGTTGTCCTTACTGAACCTCAGCCCGGTTGGCTGAATACTCAGGGGAAATGGTCCTTTGTTTTTGAAGGTGACCTTGATGATGTCTCCAACCTCTGCCCAAATAACAGGACCTACGGACAAAAAGAATTCTTTTCCTTGTTTATACAGCACACAGTGTACAAGACGGTTATTTCTTTTAGTCAATGTCCTTTAGCAAGCACCACCGGGAACATCATTTGTGGCTGCTGCAAATGTTGATTTTTAATAAATCTGTTTTGGGGGTCAGTGTTTGAGGTAAAGCCGCTGGCAGTGATCCTGGCATTCCACATGCGTGTTGGTTCGTGCCTCAGCTGCTCCACTTCCAATTCAGCTCCTTTTTTTAAAGATTAATTTATTTTTTATTGCAAAGTCAGATATACACAGAGGAGGAGAGAAAGAGAGGAAGATCTTCCATCCGATGATTCACTCCCCAAGTGAGCCGCAATGGCTGGTGCTGCACCAATCCAAAGCCAGGAGCCTGGAGCCTCTTCCGAGTCTCCCATGCGAGTGCAGGGTCCCAAAGCTTTGGCTTGTCCTCAACTGCTTTCCCAGGTTACTAACGGGGAGCTGGACGGGAAGCAAGGGTGTCAGGATTAGATCAGGTGCCCACATGGGATCCCAGAGCATTCAAGGCAAGGACTTTAGCCACTAGGCTACCGTGCTGGGCCCTCAGCTCCTTTTTTAATGTACCTGGGAAAGCAGTAGAAGATGATTCAAGTGCTTGGGCCCTTGCAGTAGCATGGCAGATCAAAAATAAGCTCCTGGCTTCCGCCTCGCCCAGCTGTGACCGTTATGGCCATTTTGGGAATGAACCAGGGGACAGAAGCTCTTTCTTTGTCTCCTCCCTCTCTGTAATTCTGCCTTTCAAATAAATAAATATTTAAAATAATAGTACTGGTAAGACTGTTACTAATCTGACATGGCAAGGTTAGAAGGTAAGAAGGACTTTCTGGCCCAATTTGAAGACAATGAGGCCGATTATCATTTTTAAGTTTTTTTGTCTCTAATAAGTTGTAGACATCTATGAAAAACTATAAGCGTTCTCCGCTGTCTCCGCTCTAGGCTTGAGTTGGCCAGGCATGTGTGCTTAGTCCTCAGTCAGAGGGTCATGCAAACGCTCACTGTCCACAGCAGGTAAGCTCAATTGGTAATGCTTTTGGATTTTGCATCCCCAAAATCAACGTAATCTTTTTACAAAAACCAATGATTTGAATAAAAACACAGAGTCGGGAGGCGTATACGACTCATGAATACACAAACCTGTACTTGCAGAGGACTTCCTGTCTGTTCTTCGGAACGTTTGGATGAATGAACAAATCTAATCCTTATCACGGTTTAGTGACATAAGAACCATTCTTCTTTTGTGTGGACAGGTGAGGGAGTAACTGGAAAGTCCCAGGGCTGGGAGATGCGGAGTGAAGGCAGCCTGAATCCAGACCTTGCCCGTGACCGAGCTGTGCACCCGGGGCATCTGTACAGACCCCCGTCTTGGAGCTCTGTCCCAGGCAGCCCACCAGGGCCCTTGGCACAGATCCAGCCTGCCTCATCTGAAATGAGCCTCTTATTTCTAAGGCATTGTGACTTTTGTCGAGAGCAGATGTCAACAACCTAATTACCTATTTAAATCAAGTCACCTGTGCACACAGTGTCCCCTGACCTCTTTGAACAACAACAAACAAACATAATCGTTTGAAGTCCCCATGGCTTTTGATGTTGAAGATTTACCATTGGGAAAGTCACCGTCAGCCACATTGCTTGATGTTTAATCTACCCTGCAGCGACGGACGCTTGCGTTCTTTCTGAAGTTGTGGGGAGAGTGTGACACGCATGCATTCCTGTACCTGCTCTGCAGACTCACCCAGAAGGCCGAGGTGTTCGTCCTCGGGGCCTCTCTCCTTGCGGTTAGCGAAAGAGGCATCTGTGTACTCGCGATAAACCAGCTTTTTATAAGAGCCTCCGATTCTTGCAGGTCCTTGTTCGAAAAACACCTCTGAGGCGCTGCCAAAACACGACAGGATTGATGCTGGGATTGATGTAGACACGAGGCAGGTATTCCCGCGGAGTACTAATTCAAGCAAAAGTGTCAGCAGCGCTTAGCACTGCATCTGCTGCATGGTATATAGTGCCCACACTTCATGGTTGTCCATACCAGTTTCTTACACAGAAATAGGCAGCTCTAGGCTACTCATACTTAGGAAGGTTAAGGTGCAGAGGTGTTAGCAAGGAAGTTAGCCCATGTGTGTGAGCAGGGCTTAAGGATAACAGACCATAAGCAGATGCTTGGAAGCACACCTTGGAAACGGCCCAGTACTTCTCTCTGCAAAATCCTGCCCAGGCCACAGAAGTTTCACAGGTGTTCCACCTTGCTGCCAAGGGAAGCTCATGAGACAGTTCTCCCTTTGCAGCACCAAGCTGGTGATGCAGCCTGCTAACTTGGGCCAGTGACACCTTCCCAGCCCTCATGCAGGCTTGTGCAACGAGCAGCTTTGTGCGCACCATAAAATTCAAAAATTCAAAATAAAAATTTAACAACAACAACAACAAAAACAACAGAGGAGCTTTGTTTGGCAGCAATTCAGAACTGTTGAACTATCAAAACCACTTGAGCAGGACCCTTGGAGCATGCCCCACACTGGGGACCTGGGCTGGGTGGGACTTCTCCCTTTATCTCCCCCCTTACCCCAGATACAGAAAAAAAAAAAAACAAAACCAAACAAACAAATAATAATGTGGAAACAATGGTCTTACCCACTTTTCTGTAGCCCTTGACCCTTTGTGCCCTAATCAACTATGTAAAGATTATCAGATAAAATAATTTTAAAATAAATAAATAAATAAATAATAAAATCTCCCATCAAAAAAGTATAAATATCATCCATACATGCAAAGTGAATTTTCTGGAAGGATACTTGTGAAAATCATATTAGGGCTGATTTTTAGATTATGGAATTCCTGAGAGTTTTTACTTTTCATGTAATTTTATGTATCGTCTAACACTCTGCATAAGATCTGTTGTTTTTACAATAGAGTTCATGCAAATGGAAATAAAGAAAGAGTAGCTTTGTGCATCAAAATTTCCAAGAAAACAAAAAGATAACCTACAGAAGAAAACATTTGCAAATATTTGATTAGGAATTAAACTGTTGAAAAAAAAAAAAAAGAAGTTAAAATCTAGAAAATATCGGGCTAGTGCGATGAATTAGAAGGCTCATTGCTTGCTTGTGCCAGTATCCCCCACGGGCCCAAGTAGCCTGGCTGCTTCACTTCCGACCCAGCTTCCTGCTGATGGCCTGGGAGGGAGCCGCGGCTGACTCCTGTCCATGTGAGATCCCTGCACAAAGACTCCTGGCTCCCGGCTTCGGATCAGTTCAGCTCTGGCCAGCGAGGCCATTTGGGGAATGAACAAGGAGTAGACCTCTCTGTCTCTCCTCTCTCTGTAAAATCTGCTTTTCAAATAAAAATAAATAAATCTGAATAACCCAGACTATACAAAGAGCTCATACAACTCCTAACAATATAATATTGAAAACCCAATTTAAAAATTAGCAAAGGGTAAAAATAGAAAATTCTATGAAAAAAATAGATGATCAATAGGCATATGAAAAGATGCTCAGATGAGTCATTAAGGCAATGCAAATCAAAACTATCATATCGCTTCCTATCCATTGATAGGGCTATTTTACGTGGGAAACAAAAAAGATGCTAACTATCAAGAGGAGATGGAGAAGTTGGAATTCTGAGCACACCTGGTGTGCAGATAAAAATGGTGCAGCTACAGATATTAATACACCAATATTCGTGGCAGCATGACACAGTAAGAAAAAAGTGAAACAACCCAAATGTTCACTAACAGGTGGATAAGCAGAATGCAGTGTATACAACTGATTGTTATTCCATGTTAAAGTAAAAATTCTCATATACACTACTAGATGGACAAACCTTGAAGACACGCTAACTGTAATAAACTACACACAGAAGGACAAATATCCCACTTGGATGAACTGTTGAAAATTTGCAAATGTATAGAGACAGAGGGTAGCGTTGACGTTACACGAGTGTGGGAGAATAGAACTGGACGCTATGGTTACAAGAGTACAAGGTCAACTGTGGGTGATGACAGGATCCTGGAAGTGGATGGTGCTGATGGTTGTGTTACCTTGTGCATGCACTCAGTGATGTTGATTATTATATTTGAGAAAAAAAAAAGGAAAGCTAATGAATCAGTCCTTCCTAGTATGTTGTGTTCTTATGAATTAGTTGAACATTTGATAATATTTGACCCCCTTTTTTCATAGACCCAATGTTATTGTTCTCAACTCAATCTGTTGCATCAAGCACTCCAGTAAATATTGAAACAGCATTTTGGGTGGGGTGGGGCGCATGACTGAAATAATGGTATTCTCTGTGATTTACCTGCCAGGTGCTGTCAACGACTCATTGGTGAACATGTCTACACCGGAGGGAGCGTAATTCCAGATGATTTCCTCGGCAGCGATGTAGTAATGTCTAACTTGTTTCTCCAGTATGTCATCCTCTGCTGGAGACTTTTTACAGTCCTGGACCTGGAAAAAGGCCTGCAGACCAGCTGGAAGCACACGCAAGGAGGCATTGATTAATGCACCCAGCATGTCCCTCTTCTATTTCCCCGACAAAAAATAAAAGTAGCTATGACAGAAACACTCTTATTACCCAGGACAGTTGTTTACAAATGAATTACTGATGGGGAAATTCAAATTTTATAAAGGACACACGTTTATATACAAATGGATTGGACAAGATATGAAGATCATGTGCTTGCGACATGTGCCACTTTCTATGGGATGTCACTTGGGGGCACTTTTCATGAGAGAAAAATGTCAAATTTGTAGATAAGCCAAAATGGGCAGTGACACATTTTACAGAATTGATTAGGACTGATGAGGAGCCTAGAATGAGCACATACTGTTGGCCTTACGTGCAGAATGTGCACCTGCCGCTCTGGACCTTCTGTGATCCAGGTCATTCGATGCGGATTCAGAATCTCGTAAAGAGGAGAGCACTTGACCTTGCAGTTAAGTTGGCATCTGGCTCATCTTTCCTCTCACACTCAGGGCCTGGATTTGAGTCCTGGCTTCCCACCCCCTCCAGCTTCCTGCCCACGTGTGCCTTGGGAGGAAGACGGTGGTGGGACACGTTCTTGGTTCTTTGCTACCCAAGCAGCAGGCTTAGACTGAATTCCTGGCTCCAAGCTCCAGCCAGACTCAGCCTCAACCTTTGTGGACTTCTGAGTAGAAACACTATCTCTGCTTTTAGCTTTGTGACTTAATTAAACAAATGACCACTTTTAAGCATTTCATGGTAAATAAATACTATTAAAAAACGCATGGGAGGGGGGCGGCACGATAGTGTAGAGGTTCAAGTCCTCACCTTGAATGCGCTGGGATCCCATATGGCCGCTGGTTCTAATCCCGGCAGCCCTGCTTCCCATCCAGCTCCCTGTTTGTGGCCTGGGAAAGCAGTCAAAGATGGCTCAAAGCTTTGGGACCCTGCACCCATGTGGGAGACCTGGAGGAGTTCCTGGCTCCTGGCTTCAGATTGGCTCAGCTCCAGCCGTTGCGGCCGCTTGAGGAGTGAATCATCAGACGGAAGATCTTCCTCTCTGTCTCTCCTCCTCTCTGTATATCTGACTTTGCAATAAAAATAAATAAATCTTTAAAACAAACAAACAAAAACAAACAAAATGCATTGGGGCCATGCAGTGGTGTGGTTGCTAAGCTTCTGACTGTGGTGACAGCATCCGATATGGGTACCAGTTCAAGTCCCAGCTGCTCTGCTTTTTTTATTCAACTCTCTGCATATGCCCTGGGAAAGCAGTGAAGGATGGCACAAGTTCTTGGACCCCTACATCCGAGTGAGAGACCTGGAAGAAGCTCCTGGCCTCTGGCTTTAGACCAACACATCTCTGGCCATCCGGTCATTCGGGGAGTGAACCAGTGGATTTAAAGATTCTCTCTCCCTCTCTCTCTCTTTTTAAAGATTTATTTATTTTTATTGTAAAGGTGAATATACAGAGGGGGAGACACAGGGAGGAAGATCTTCCTTCTGATGTTTCACTCCCCAAGCAGCCGCAAATGGCTGGAGCTGAGTCAATCCGAAGCCAGGAGCCTGAAACCTCTTCCAGATCTCCCACGCGGATGCAGGATCCCAAGGCTTTGGGCCGTCCTCTACTGCTTTCCCAGGCCACAAGCAGGGAGCTGGATAAGAAGCAGGGCTGCTGGGATTAGAGCCGGCACCCGTATGGGATCCCAGCACGTTCAAGGCAAGGACCTTTAACTGCCATGCTATTGCACCAGGACCTCTCCCTCTCTTTTTAACTCTGACTTTCAAGTAAAAATGAGTAAATCTTTTGAAAAGCTATGAATGGATTTTGAAATCTCTTATATTCAAATAAACCAATCATTTGATTTCATTTTTCATGAGTTTTTGAATGCCATTGTATGTGATAAATGCAGTGGCATCTGCAGGTCAGAGTAGCACACCCAGAGATCTAGCACAAACTTGATTTCTTCAATAGATCAACATAACAAACGAATAATTTCAAAGAACAACTGTGTTTTTATCAGTTTGCATTAAAAAGAGTTAGGAAATCCATTGTGACATAGCAGGTCAAGCCACAGCCTGTAATGTCAGCATTCCATGTGGGTTCAGGTTCATGTCCCAGTTGCTCCACTTCTGATGCATCTCTTTGCTGATCACCTCGGAACAGCAGCTGAGGAGGGCTCTTGTGCCTGCATCTCTCATGGGAACAGCAGCTGAGGAGGGCCCCAGTGCCTGCATCCCTTGTGGGAACAGCAGCTGAGGAGGGCCCCAGTGCCTGCATCCCTTGTGGGAACAGCAGCTGAGGAGGGCCCCAGTGCCTGCATCCCTTGTGGGAACAGCAGCTGACGACGGCCCCAGTGCCTGCGTCCCTCATGGGAACAGCAGCTGACGATGGCCCTCGTGCCTGCGTCCCTCATGGGAACAGCAGCTGACGATGGCCCCAGTGCCTGCGTCCCTCATGGGAACAGCAGCTGACAATGGCTCCAGTGCCTGCATCCCTGCTACCCATGAGGTAGATACAGAAGAAGCTTCCAGCTTTAGCCTGATACAGCGCAGGCTGTGGTGGCCATTTGGGGAGTGAACCAGTAGATGGAAGACCTCTCTGTGTCTCTTCCTCTCTCTTTGTAATTCTTTCAAATAAATAAATAAATCTTTACAAAGTAAAGGGAGGGATTTATCAAGTTAAACTGAGGACTAGCCAGGTCCAATGAACAAATTTGGTTGTATCTTGAAGAAACATGAAAAAACCAGACGACTTTTTCGTCATAATATGCAAATGTTCTATCATTATTTGGATTTTTGCAAAACTGAAAAACTACATACAACACTACCAAGGAGGAACTCTGCTTTCAGAACTAGTTATTTTATACAAACCAATGTATCGTCATATTTCAATACATGAAAAATAGTATAGTTTTTTTTGCCTTAATATTACTTTAAGATACATGCCATTGTAGGAGTAAAACTAAGATACCAATTCAAAGCTCAGGTTACTCTGAAGACAATTCAGCGTTAGTTTGCAATTCTCAATCACAACCCCACTAGTAGTGTGAATGACACAGGCCTCATTCCAGCTGTCAAATGATATCAGGTCAAAATGGCCTACCTTGCAGATGGTTTAGATTCTGACAGGTAAGCATCCATTCTCCAGGGCTCTGGGCCACCATGAGAGCATCAAACAGAGTAGCAGGAAAGAGGTTGATTGTATCGATGTGATAGTTCTTGCTAGTTAACGTTTGCCCATGAAAGAAAGCTGCGTGCACATCGATTTCATTACCCATACCAAAGAGGTACCACTTCACTCTGTCTTCCGCACACATGGAGAGTCCCGGGAGACTTCCGAAACTGTGCCCATTCACAGCTGTAGGTCAAGAGCAGAGTTTGTGAATAGTCCAGGTTGGTGCCTGGGATCATGATAGTTACTGCTACACAAAGACACTCAGTCTGAGATGGCAGATAGCTGGCTCACACACCAATATACCCTCTATCAGATGTTTCTAACCAAGCACAGCACTCTCAGCTTGGAGCTGGATTCAACCTGGGGATTCTTGCCAACACCACAGCAGCAGATAAATGCATTTGCTGTATTTGTTATAAATCGCACAGGTTGGTTGTGTGTGTTTCTAAATACACATGTATGCTGATACACCAAGTGGTTTTCAAAAGACAAAGTTGCTTAGCAACCAATGAATTTGGTAGTGGTAGTAAGGATGTTGTCATTTTTTTTCTCATTCAATGTCAAAACTTTTTCAATTTTACAGTGAGAATTTCTTTTATAATTAAAAATAGGGAAGGTTTTGTGTTGTGAGTTGCCACTGGAAGACAAAAATTGTAACAAACAGATACCAAATGATTCCTTTACTGAGTAGTTTACTTTTTTGGCTTCGGTAGGATGATTCTTTTTGTTTGCTGTTTAAGCTTATTTTAAATATGCTAAACAAAGTTATTTGTATTGATGCAATTGGATGTAAAGCTATTTATTATTTCATGCATATGCTGAGGAATAAGTTATTTTACTACGTTCAGTATTTGAGAGTTAAGAAAAAAAACTAGGCAGTAAAAAGGCATTTCTAGACAAGATAAACTGAAATGCAGAAAAGAATTGGCATCAGGTGAGGAACTGGAGGGGCCCCGTGAAGTATGCAAATGAGATAACAGCATCTGGAGCTGGTGGTCCCAACAATTTTCTTAATAGATGATGACGAATATAACAACAGAAATAGCTCAATATTTTATAATAGATGTATAAATTTAGTTTAGTAATTTTAGGTCGCCTTAAGTCATTTTTAAAATGGCTTGGAGGATAAGTAAATATATACATGTAAACACACATACGCATTATGTCGGAACTGATGTTTTCTCCTTATCAGTTTGGGAACAAGTTTGGTTTAGTAAGCTTTACCAAGTTTAGTGTTTGGATAGCAGAGTATCAAGTCACCTGTTTCATATTTGTTACTACACACCAGGCTAGAAGATACACCACGCATTCATGTGAGAGAATAGGCTTAGCAGACACAAGTGAAGCAAGAGGACCGAAGTGAGCGTGAGTGCTGCGAGCTTACAGTACATCCTGTTACTCTCCTGGAACTCTTCGTCGTCTCTGTCTACTTTCTCCGGTTCAGAGCAGTAGGCTTTGATGTTGTCTTCTAAGTACCAGCTGAGATTTTCATCCACCACAGAAAACATCACCACAAATTCTTGGTCAATGTTTCTTTCTTTTTCTGTTTCCTTATCCAGAGAATCTGAAGTGAAAATGAATGATTTCAATAGAACTAAAATTTTAACGCATTTTGACTTGTATTTCTGGGTGATCTGTGAGAGTTTCTGAAAATGTGTAATATTTCCCCAATAAACCACAAATCTGCACCGGTCACTCCCTGCTGTTCTGTGGGTGCAGGACCATGTTCAACAATCTACACTGGGTGTTCCCTGGCCACGTGAATCCTAAGTGCCATCTGCCCACTGACATAGTGTGTCTTCCGATGCCTATAACCACAAGCTGAAAACATCTTGGCGAGTAACTGATTGTTGCTCATATAAGCACTGTCGTTCAAGTGTCTGTGCTCTGATGTCTTTTCCATGACATTGGAAATCAACATTCTGATACGATATTTATCAAAATTGTACAGAGAACCACAGATCTGTACTACAAAGGGCTACGGTGAAGTCCCATTTGCCAAAGCCATAATTCCCCACACCACCTTCTCAAGTCAGATTCGGCAAACCCATCCCCAGGACAGCCTCCCTGTGGCAGCTTGGCCTGCCCTGCTCCTTCCCTCCTTTTTGATAGGCTTGTTACCTCTCGCTTCATCCAGCTCCAACATAGGTGACTTCACCTGCCTTCAAGAACTAAGCTGTCAAATAATGCTAGCAAATAAATGGGAAAATATACCTTTTTTACAGAGTATCAAAGGCCCGATGAGTCCAGAGGCAATATCTTTCGGAGCATCGATGTGGGAATGGTAAATCCGAGTCACGCAATCACCATCTCCCTCACCAGGCCTTTGCTCTTCACTGGCACTTAATATGTAAGTATACTGCTGTCCCGGAAGTACTTTGTCATCTGCTTTCTGAAAATCTGTGGTATTATCAGGGTAGATGGCCCCTAGGAAGGTAAAGTTACAAAGTGAATATATTTGAGCTCCGATGAGAGGATTGATCCATTGCTTCAGCAAACGTCTATTCAACCTTAACGTGTAGCCCTCGAAGGCGCAGTGATGGCCTCTGGGAGAGCACACACAGGTCAGTGGCTCTCGTGAGGCCGTCTAGAAACCTCGCAAGTTATGCTGCTCTTTTATACTTGAGTGCGTCTTCAAGGGATTGGTGAGGATACAGGAGGAACATCATGACAAAAGAAGAACGACTTATCGCTCGGACTCAAGGTGTGGAATTTATGTCCAAAATAACTGTGCTTCCCATTGTTTGCAACTTCTTACCTGGCATCACATTTCTGTCTGGGAAGTAACGGCAGAAATGAAACATCTTGCATTCGTGATTTTGTAAATTTCCAAATGCATGCAAAAATAATGTCACAAACTTCCGGATGCCCATGAACTTAGATTTGACATGATCAACTCACAGCCCATCTTATTTGTACTCATAGTTACTCCAAATACTACCTAACTATTTTATATCATTTGAAATTGCCTATTTATTGGAGAGACAAGCGAGCACTCCCAGTCCTGGGTTCATTTCCCCAGTGCCCGAAGCAGTCAGGGGCCACAGGCCCGAGGCAGGGCCAGAGCTGGAGCCCCCACTCCCACTGCCAAGGACGTGCAGCCTGGAGAAGCTGGGCACAGGAGGCATAGCTGGGAATTGAACCGCCCTACGCAGATTTGCTCCACCTAATGTCCCTCCTCCATTGCATAATTTTCAAGAAAATTGCAGGCGTTGTATTTTCTTCATAAATACTTCAGTACGCATCTCTGAACATAGAGCTCTTTTATTTTTTCTCATTTGAACAAAACCATATTACTATTATCACACTTAAAAATGAAAGCTAACTGCCAAATAAACCATTACATTGTTAAAAGCAAAAATCAAAATGAACGAAGAAAAAAAACTGCACCAAGACACCAGTTAGCCATTTATGCCAATAATGTATTGTTCTGCCCATAGCATAAAAATCTTAAAAAGATATATTAAAACAAAAATTTACCGGACCCGGCAGCGTGGCCTAGCAGCTAAAATCCTCGCCTTGAATGCGCTGGAATCTCATATGGGCGCCCGTTCTAATCCCGGCAGCTCCACTTCTCATCCAGCTGCCTGCTTGTGGCCTGGGAAAGCAGTCGAGGGTGGCCCAAAGCCTTGGGACCCTGCACCCGCGTGGGATGCCCGGAAGAAGTTCCTAGATTCTGGCTTTGGATCGGCATAGCATCGGCAGTTGTGCTCACTTGGGGAGTCAATCATCAGACAGAAGATCTTCCTGTCTGTCTCTCCTCCTCTCTGTATATCTGACTTTCCAATAAATAAATAAATCTTAAAAAAAAAAAATTACGTTCTAAAATAACTCCTCTTTTAAGAGGAGATTAGTAATTAATCAAAACTAAAGTCATATTAATTTTCAGGATTAATCTTTATAACCTCAATGAACTATGTCGCAACCTAAGCATGCTCATTTATGGTAGCAGCTGATTTTCATTGAGTTATTACTACATGCTGTCACAGGAAACCGAAGCACAGAGAACTTATGTAACTTTTCTAACATCACTTGGCCAGTAGAAGGCAAGGCTGGATTTGACTCAGACTTCAGTTTATTCCTTTCAAAGTCTTTGTTTACAGCTGTAAACGGCATGCAACTCTTTTGCTTTCATCACCTAGCTCGGAGGATACAGCGCAGCACTGAAGCTTGTCTTTATCCTGGTACCGATGTCAAGGCTTTTGAGTTCTCCATCCCGATGACCCTTGTGGTCAGTTGTGCCTTACGTGGGACTCTGGAGTCCGCCAGCCCCATGTGCCGCTCAACTGAGTGCGTGAGACTCCTCATGCTGCCTTAGTTGGAATGAGAGTTTTCCAGAGTTAGGCGGGACTGTAGTCTCTGTTCTCGGCTTGATTGTGTATATCTGTCTCTCATTTGGAAACTGGCTCTGGCTGACTGTCATCAAGTGCACCTGGAAACTCTACCACCTTCACACTCCACACATACACAGGTACACACACACACACACACACGCATACACACAACCAAGAAAAATGGAGGGTTACAATGCTGACCAAAATAGCCACTCTTCAGTTCAGAGCTGAAGGACAGGCACCTGTCCACCCAGCTGTCCTATGAGCTGAGCTTACCTTCATGGTCCTTGTAGTATGTCATCCCATGTGAATGAAAAGTGTAAGGCCTTGAGGCAAAGTTTTTTAAGTGTACAAAAACCTTATCACCAATTTCAGCTTTGATAATAGGGCCTAATAACCCTAGCCAGGCTGGTTTCTCCACGACAGTTGTGAAGCCTTCATCTGTGTACTGAAGATAAAGAGCCTTTTTGTAGATTCTCCCAATTCTCGTCGGACCATTTTGAAGATACTTACTGAAGTGCTCCCTGCAAAGGGAGAGAAGACAGGTTTATCAGGAGTCGTGATTTCTGGCACTAACGTTATCGTTAAAGGGAAATAGATGACCTCATCACAGGAAATGTCTTCAGAAAGGAAGTGGCATTTAGCCATTTTTATTTTAATTGAATTAGTTAACTTAATTAATTAATATGTGTTCTAAAGTCACCTGTGAAGGCTTCAGGTGCCTATCTAGTATGCTTATCTCAGAGTTCTCATATTTGTGTATTTTTAAAAAGATTTATTTTAGTCTTATTGGAAAGGCAGATCTATAGAGAGAAAGAGCTTCCATCCGCTGGTTCTCTCCCCCGACGGCCAGAGCTGAGCAATCCAAAGCTAGGAGCCAGGAATTTCTTCGCCTTCTCCCACGTGAGTACAGAGTGCCTAGGCTTGGGATCATCCTCTGTTGCATTCCCAGACCACAGTCAGGGAGCTGGATGGAAAGTGGAGCAGCCAGGATATGAACCAGCACCCATATGGGATGCCAGTGCTTGCAATGGGAGGATTAGCCAATTGAACCATTGTGCTAGGCCCAATTATAGCTAGTTTAATGAAATTAATTGGTGTTCCTTAGCAGGTGTGTGAAAGGGAAAACCTTTTGTGAAGGCAACATAAAACGTATGGTGCATCTTACTAGAATGTTTTATTCAAGATTTCCATATGAAAACGCAGAGATAGGGCCCTGGCACGAAGGCTTCAATGGTTAAATTCTCAAGGCCTTGGGCATCTTTTGCTGCTTACCCATGTGCATTAGCAGGGAGCTGAGTCTGAGTCAGTGGAGGAACTGTAACTCAAACCAGTAACCATATGGAATGCCAGCACTGCAGGGAACAACTTTCCCAGCTAGCCAACAATGCCAGCCCCTGTGTGGATTTTAACAATTACCTTTGGATTTAAATTACCCCTGTGTGTTTAGAATTCTGACTATTGTACCTAGCATTTAATGTTTAATTTGGTTTCTACTAATTAATACTTGTTTCAAACTTTCCAAAAAAGTATCAGCAAAATCAACATTAATCAGTTAAAAAAGAAAAAAAAAAGCGAATTCAGTGTTTGAACTTTGATTCTTGCTATTGACTTTCACTGACGGCTCCAGGCAGCTCAGTGCAATCTAATTTTGGGCAATGCCAGGCAGTCCTTCAGGCAGGCCTGTCTATGTTCTGGGCTTCAGCAAGCTTCTGCATACCTAAGGTGCCTTCATTTTGAGTAAGAATAGCTCACACTCTGGATAATGATTTGGGATTTTTAGCTATTTTTGTGTGTATGTGTTTGTGTCACCTGCTCTCATCTGAGCACTCTTTCACTGAGCCCTCTTGGGGCTGGGCAACCTGGCGAAGGAATACAGTTTGTAGTAGTGCCCCAACTGTGAGCTCATCGGAAGGAGTGAGATGTATTTGTTTTTCGTCTCTTCAAAAACAAGAACAGGGCTTGTCTGGGAGCTCTGTGCTATCAATGCTGCAGAATTTAGAAACTGTATCTGATGTTTCTTCAGGTTTCATGAGCAGAGGAGTCTATGGAAGCAGTGGAAGAAACACAGATTCCTGGGGTCCAGTCCACGGATCTGGGCTAGGCTTCAGACATCTGTCCTTCCTAACCCACATGCCTAATATGTGTCCCAGTACAGGCATGTGATTGCCCTGACTTGTAAGTAACCTGCACCAGGGCAGCTCTAAGGGGAAGAGATTTGCCAGTTCCCAAGGCAGAATGATCCCTAGACACCACGATTCAGATGGGTGTAGAGTTGTGTTTCCAGGTGACCTCCTGGCAGCGGCCAGATCTCTGCCAGCAATGGCTGAGGTGAAGTGAAACCTGCGTGCTGAGACCAGGACGGGGACAGCTAAGAGCAGCACTAGAGGCTGTGGTTGAGCTGAGAGAACGGGTGTTGGAAATAGGAGGGATGGAAATGATCTCCAACGGGTGTTGGAAATAATTTGGAGCCTCCACTCCCTAGAGGGATAAGAGACACAGCTCACAGTCACCACCATTGTGCTATGATGTCATTTTTCCTGGGTTGGATAAACCCCAGCATTTCCAAGGGAGACAGGATTGTTCACTGAAAAATGAACACGGTGGTGTTCTCTTGTCCTACCTCCTCGTGAGAAGGCCAAGGTGCAAGTTGGAAAAATCAGTGACTTTTTAAAACACTTTATGGAGAGGAACTAAACCAAGGATGTTCCCCCATTTCTCCTATTGGATGTCACCTTCACTTTGTTTATTGCCATTTCCTATTTTATTGGAACAAACAAAATAATTTTTTTAAAAGATTTATTTCATTTTCACTGGAAAGGCAGATATACAGAGAGGAGGAGAGACAGAGAGGAAGATCTTCGTTTATTGATTCACTCCTCAAGTGACCACAGCACCAGGATCTAGGCTGATCTGAAATCAGGAACCAGGAGCTTCTTCTGGGTCTCCCACACGGGTGCAGGTTCCCCGGGTTTGGGGTCAATCTTGATTGCTCTCCCAGGCCACAAGCAGAGAACTGAATAGGAAGTGGGGCTGCCGGGATATGAACTGGCAGCTGTATGGGATGCAGAAGCATGCAAGGTGAGGACTTTAGTTGCTGGGCTACCATGCTAGGCTACCGTGCAAAGCTCAGGGACACACCAAGAAAATGGAAATCATGGAAAAAGGAAGACACAGGGATGAACTCTGCCCCTAAATCCACAACATTGCTGTGGGTAGGAGGCATTTTGATTAATGTGTGCCTTCACAAGAGCAAAAATAACTGCTAAATTACTGAAGACGACTGAGTTAAAAGCACAGATTTCTAGTCCATGATGGTGCAGAGGCTCAAGCAGTGCGCAGTGTCAGCCAGGCACACAGGGGGGCTGCAAAGTTGTCCAAGATGTGAGTCTGCTGTGGGCACACCCCAAGAACCCAGGTCTGGAAGTGTCAAAGGCTTGACTAAGCCCTAGGATGGTTTCCCTCAAGGTCTGGACACATCCCTGCTTGTAGGAGAGCAGACTGATGTATTTAGAGATATGCTACTCAGTGCTCTACCATGCCCCGTTGGTAACACATCTCACATAGACCAACTTAAAAATAGCTTGAAATGGCTTCAGACTTCATTTGCAGAGTGCATTGTATTTTTTGAATGTGACTAGACAGCCTTTAGAAATACATCATATCCCATTTCCATGAATTATAGCAGGCTTTATCAAGATGCCTTCATTGCATTGAAATCCTTTTGTATTACTCATTTCCTAAAATAGAGGGACAGTGACCTAGGTTTTCCTACTCATTTTTTTCTACACAAAGACTTGATGGGATGAGGGATGACAATGACCTCTAATCTGGTGTTGGGAGGGCATTTGTCAAGGTGTTTAGGTCACCCTGTGGGATGGGTGACTGCACAGCCTGTGGGAGTCCCTGGTTTGCGTCCTGGCTGTGCCTCTGACTGCAGCTCTCTGCACCCCCTGGCAGAGTGGTGATGGCTCAAGGGCTTGACTTCCCACCAGCCCCAGGAGACACTCGCTGGAATCCACGGCTCCCAGTTTTAGCCTGGTCCAGCCCCAGCTGGGGTGGACATTTAAGGAGTGAATCAGATAGCCATCTGTTTCTGTCTTTCAAATACATCCATTTTAAAAGTAAGTAAAAGACTTGAATGAAAATAACAAAACAACCCGAAGTCCTAATAGATCCAGGATGTCTCACAGTTGGGATTTCTTCTGCATATATCCCAGTGGACAAACTGGCTTTTCTGTCTTGTGTTTTATTTTATCTCAACCACCAAATTAGGAACTAATTCACGTAGTGTGATATTTTGGGGAGGTCTGTCTGTTTATGATCTGTCTTCATTGGAGCTCAAAAAAGATCATTCTGACATGTCTATATAATTTCAAGAGCACAGTTTGGGGACAAAGGGTCAATTTCTGGAAGCTTGCAGGAAGGTTGCCAGTCAGATGTTTATTCACAAGAATCTATTCTAGTTGTTCTTTGAACCAAACAAAGAACTCACATTTAATTGTGGTCCTTCCTGTTGTCGATTAAAACGGGCTCCTCCTTGCTGCCTTAGCAGATATGTTTCCCTCCCAATAGTCATAATTCCTTCCTTCCGGCTCCACTCGTGTTTTTAAAAAGCAGACACCAATCATTTCTGGAAGTTTGATATCTAAAGGAGGGTTTTTTCTGTGGCAGGGAACTTAATTATTTTATGTTGCCTCATAAGAGTATAATAACGTTGCCCCCTCCCATGAAGTCAAAATCCACTCAAATGGTCTGGTCTCATGCTGGGGCATGGTTACTAAAACTTCAGTATTGTAGGTGAAAAGTTTCCTGGATTTTTGCCATCGCTAACCAAGACATAACATACTATTTTCTGTTCCTGTGTAACGAATGACCACACTGTGGCATAAAAAAGGGCCTACCCATTTATAAGCTGGCATTTGTATGAGTCAGGAGTCTGGCCTGGCCTGGCTGTGTCCTCCCCTTGGAGCACCAAGGTGTTGAAATCCAGGGGTTATTGGGCTGAATGCTCGTCTGAAGCTCTGTGGAAAAACCCACTTCCTCGTTCATTCAGGGTATTGGCATATTTCAGTTCACAGAGGTAAGTCTGAAACTCCCTCTTATTGTTGGCTGGTAGTGGCCTCTCACAGCTCCTGGCCACTCCCGACTTTGATTTAAGAACCCGTCTCATGCTGGAATGAGCAACATTGGCTGAAATCCCCCTGTGCCCTCCTTGACATGTCCTGTCACTACAGGCCTCCCTGCTTTTAGAGCGGGCCAACACAGGTCTTAGGGCTCCCAAACGGGACACTGTGGGAGTGGAAGCAGCCTGTCCCCAGTGTCTGGAGCTTTGGAGCAGGATGTCTTTTAAAAGCCCACTTTAAATGCCTGCTACCACAAGCAGGAACCACCAGAAAAACAGGAAAGAGGTTGGTGGGAGACTCAGCCAAGGTGCGTGTCACACAACTGGAAGGCATTATAGGCCCTCGGGAGCACAGCTGGAACGTGGAACCTGACGGTCAACTTTCTTTTGCCTGTGTTTTCAGGAGAGATAGAAACAGTGATAGCAACGTGTGGAGCTGGAAGGTAGAAACCGCACTAGCCTTCAGTTAGGTCCTTCACACAGACTAGATTCTCTCGTAGGATGTGTTTGTACCATTCTGGTTATGGCTTACTAGTTTTTAACTTGATAACATCAAGGAATGAATCATTGTGAGTGAAATTTGCAGGTAATTTTAGCTAATGTTTGTACCACTTTTAGAATTATTTAAAAATATAAATGATTTTTGAAGGATTGTTAAGTAGTTCATTGGGAGGACCTTTTGCTGGGATGCCTCCAGTATCTAGGGATTCTATATAAGCAAAACAAAACCTAATTTAGGAGAAGCAGTGGAATGAAACATCAGTTTAACTAGTTGGAAAGTACACGTTAGTCTCTAGAAACTTCAACAGTCATAGCCACTTGACCTCTGTAAATCTGATCTGCCTTTCCAATACAAATAAATAAATATTTTTCAAAATCTCTTTAAAAGAATTGCAAGAACTATATTTTAAGAAAGTCAGTACTGTTGGTGAGAACATGTTAAGTGCAAAAAGGTCTTATGATGGTTATTCTTGTGCTTAAATAATTTCACCCTTATTTCCAGCTTCCTAAGGGGTACTATACACAAAAGCAGGTAACATCAAGATAAGAATATTATTATTTTTTCCTGTTATTAATTCAATAAACATTTACTTTTTTAATGTTATGGGTCTAGAATATACTATTTACGTTCACTCATTATTTTTACATGTGTGTCTTGATTCTTATTTAAATATAAATAACAGGATCAGGAACTATATCATAGAGTCTTTATTCATTCACTTACTGAAGTGACAGTTTAGACACCGACCCAAGTAAATGGCAGGTGTGAATATAATAGAAGGAAATCATTTTCTACTTCATTGTGTTGATGTTATTGGGCCTCAGAACACACTGCCCCTAAAAATCCTAAAAAGCTTTCGGGAGAAAACCTCTCCTAGGATTTCTGGACAGAACTGCTCATCTCCACCAGGTCAGTTGGATTTGGGTGAAAGGTCTATTTCATTTTAGTCATCTGGCGTAATCTTGTGCAATCCCTTGCTCTTCTATAAAATTCCTCATGTATTAAAAAAAATAATCCTTCTTAAAATTAATCAGCAGCTTTGGCAGCACACCCTTTTATAGTCGATCGTGGTTTAAAAGAGTCATCTGAACCCTGTGACAGGGACAGCCCCCGGAAGCTAAAGCCCATCTTTTCCCTTCAAACCATTGAATATTTACTGTGTGAGGACAAAGGAAAACGTGCCTTCGTGAAATATGTGAATTTGAACTAGAAATTGGCAATGTTAGAAGACTTCACAGGTCTCATGGAAAGTCTTGTGGTCCTAGGTCACTCATATCCAGCCCCGAATAAGACCTTATACTTACCTCTTAACAGAACCTATTCTATTCCATCTATTGTGCTAATATCAGAGAAACGAACTCTTTTCCTAGCCTTTGATATGTCTGACTTTTTCCTTGGAAATAAAACCATATATAATTTACATTTAATAAAGAAAATATTGAAACAGTACAAAATAATGCCTCTGCGAAGCTACACCAATGTATCATATTTCTAAGGCGATAATACTCAAAAAACCTGGTTGGATAAATGCAAATCTCAAATTTATTTTTACCTTTATGTCAGAAACTTTTCTCACTGTGCATTGTCAAATTAATAGCTTATTAGGCATTATTAGCACATGCATTTCCTTTCTTTCTGTAGAAAATTTCAACTATTTAAAAGAATGTACTTGTGTGTGGCTCAACGGGCTAATCCTCCACCTTCAATCACTGCATCCCATATGGGTGCTGCTTTCTATCCTGGCTGTTCCACTTCTGATTCAGCTCCCTGCTTGTGGCCTGAGAAAGCAGCAGAGGATGGTCTGAGTTCTTGGGACCCTACACCTACGTGGGACACGCAGAGGAAGCTCCTGGCTTTGGATCCGCTCAGCTCTAGCCATTGCGACTATTTGGAGAGTAAGCCAGCAGACAAAAGATCTTTCTCTCTGTCTCTCCTTCTCTCTGCATATCTGCCTTTTCAATAAAAATAAATAAATCATTTTTTTAAAAAAAAAGAGTGGTAATTAGCCTTCAACCAGAGTCAGTATGTGTGAAATTTGACATGTTTATTTAGCTTTTAAAGTAGCGTCTTAGCAGCTGATGGGTATTGAACTCACTGTTGAAAAATGCTCATTAATGTGGTGACTGCTGGTTGTAAAAATGAAATTGCCATTTGGCAGTAAATGTTTAATTAACATTATTAGAAGTAATGATCTCAATAGAGATACGCTTCCATAATGAAAATCTTGAAGAACACAATATTTTTGTTTTTTTGTTTTCTGTCTGGTGAATGTTACTTGAAATAGGGCGGTTTCAACTGCAGCATAAAAATATTTCAGTTATGCGGAGTTTGGGGGCCAGCTTAGTAACATTTGTGTGCGGTTTTGATGCTCTCCCAGCCAAGGGCTTTAGCATGTCCACCCTGTAAGGGAACCTACGAGGCACGCTAACAGTCTGTATTTTACAGATCAGCAGCTCTGGAGTGATGAGAAGTTAGCACGACTAGCCATCCAGCGTCATCCAGCAACTATTAGCATCAGATTTATTCAGCTGATACTTTATGTCTGCCAATGATGCTTCGACTGATTGAAAAATATTGTACTCTCACAGAAAACGGTGTAATAAGCATAACATTTTACGTAGTCGTTGCTTGAACAAAAACAATCTCTGCATGAGCAGACAGGAATAGAGAATGCTGATGGGAGAGGAGGCAGTGCCGCCCAGGGCACCAGGGCAGCAGGGCAGCTCGCAGGAGATGCACACCGTTCCGAGGCAGCACAGGGTCACGGGGAGGGCAGCTTTGCAAACGATCAACACCGCAGAACACACAGCAGCACAGCGGCTCGAGTTTCAACATATAACACATCAAATAAAAAGGAAATGTATAAAGTTGATGCATAAACAACAAAAAAGCAACTTACGTGTCCACAGAGATAAGTTTTTTGTCCCCGGTGTCAGTGGCGTAGTTCCATGATGTTTCAATAATTCCAATATAATAATGTTTCTCTTCCGCCCGGGCTCGGGCATTACATAAAAACAAAAAAATGCCAAACATCAAAAGCTTCATTGTCCCCCCTCTCTCGGAGCTTGAGAAGCAATGAGGTAAAATCAGAAGCAGGCAAATTTATAAGGAAGGCTTTCTTCTCTTATTTGCTTGATTGACACAATTTCATGTTGCACAAGAGTAAATTGTTTCGTTAAAGCAAATAACAGTTTCCAATTCAGCTCAGTTCTGGTAAACCCAGGAGAAAAAAACCAGCTGGCAGTCGCCAGGATTCTCTGAGTACAAATAAAGTCAACAGTGATTGTTGGAGCACCCGTGTGGTGTGTCTCTGGAACTTCTTTCACTCATTGTGTAAATTCCAGGGGTACAGGACTTCTTTACACGCTCCAATTATTTGTCTAATCATGCAGGACGGTGTCCTGTAAAAGGCATGTCTAGTAAACCAGAAGAAAGATTCTGCAAAACTGGCAGCACCTGACTACTTGTAGAAGCCGGACAAAAACTTAAATTACAGCTTAAGAGATAAAACATGCCGTTTAGCATGCCAAATTTAGGCAACCCAAAATAAGAATTTCATTTGAAAGGGTTTGTCTATTTTGTGAACTCTGGCTATATCTGTATGGAGACTTTATCAGATCATTCATGACTGGAAATAACCAGGCATTAACAACTTGGTTTTAATCATCAGACAAAGCAGTCATCTGTCAACCAGCCTTGGAAGGTAAGAACTAGTTAGTCTCAGAAGACAAAGCAATGTCTTTGTTGATTAGCCCGGAATTTCCATCTTTGAAGTAGACGTGGATTTTAGCGTGAGAGACTTCGAGGGAAAAGTTTTGTCTTCAGTCATAATGCCTATGCCGAAATAAAGTGACTTTTTAAAATTTGAATAAAGTCCTGATGAAACAGTTGACATTTGATGTTAATATGATTCTATTTTCTCTAGAACACCGCAAAATGCTATGCATTTGCTGAAGCTTTTTTGTTGTACTAGATCGGTGCAGGAGGAGAGCCTGCAGTGTCCGAGCAGTCCGTGCATTTAGTAAGCATTTCTGAAGGAGCCCTCCTGTGTACGGGCACTGTGTGGGGCTCTCCGCATCCATCAGGGGAGGCATCTAACCTCTTCATTGTCCTTGGGAGCAAAGGCAAATAGGGAGATGCGAAAGGACACAGATCCCATCGGTGGTGAAGAGCAGCGGAGAGAAGCAGGTCAGGAGGGAGAAGAATGTTTTCTGGGAAGGGCCAGGATGATGGTCCAAATCTGATGCTATCACATGGCCTTGGGCAGGACACGTCACCTCAGCGAGCTCGAAGGTCATGCCAAGTGAATGGAATGACAAGGCACATCACGAAGGAGCTCACACGTCCAGCTAGTACCGAGTATCCTGATTCCGAAAACTGAGTTGAGAGCCCAAGATTCTGCAAGGGGCCGGCCCTTTCTCCTTGAATAACTGCACCCTCATAGGCCTGCAAGGATTGAAGTGAGGCTCAAATCTGAGCCAGATCCCACTTGCTGGCTTTGGAAAACAGATGCTCAGAAGTCACTTTCCCCTAAGTACTCTGCACAGATGAGCATCTTTCAGTAGGTCATTGTCCCAGAATGGGTTTCTCTCTCTCTCTCTCTAGATTTATTTATTTGTTTGAAAAGCAGTTACAGAGCCTGGTGCAATAGCCTAGTGGCTAAAGTTTTCGTCTTGCGTGCGCCGGGATCCCATATCGGTGCTGATTCCTATCCTGGCTGCTCACTTTCCTTCCAGCTCCCTGCCTGTAGTCTGGGAAAGCAGTCAAGGATGGCTCAAAGCCTTGGGATCCTGCACCTGCGTGGGAGACCCAGAAGAGCTCCTGGCTCCTGGCTCCCGCTTTCGATTGGCTCAGCTCTGGCCACTGCAGCCCCTTGGGGAGTGAACCCGTGGTCAGAAGATCTCTATGCCTCTCCTCTCTGTAAACCTGACTTTCCAATAAAAAACAATAAGTCTTTTAAGATAAAGCAGAATTATAGAAAGAGGGAGAGACTGGTGGAGACAGAGAGTGGGAGCAGGAAGGGGACACACTACACATCCACCAACAGAGTCTAGTTCTACAACATCTCCTGTGCCAGCACTGCTGGGTCACTCCCACACCTTCCATCCCCGCAACCGCCACTGCGGGGGTCCTGGGTGTGATGCACCGAGGCGGGAGGGAAGGGTGCCCCATCCCGCTCCTGTGCCTTCTCCTCTGCCAATTTTCGAGAAATGCATTGCAACAACATGGACTGGGTTGTGAAAGGGGCACTGGGAAACACCGCAGGATGAAGTTAGCTATGTAGACGGACAAACTGCCTGCCTGTTGGCTGTGTCCATCAGACTTTTCCTGCAGAACCCCAAGGGGAACCTTTGATACATGTGGATACCTAAAAGAAATGTGTATTTGGGCTCGAAAACAGTCTGTATTGTGGCATAGTCCATGGAGCTGCCACCAGCAATGCTGCTACCCCGTGTGGTCACTGGGTTGTGATCCAATGTTCCACTCCTGATCCAGCTCCCTGCAGCTGGCCTGGGAGGAGTGGTGGAGGATGGTCCGCGTGCTGGGATCCCTGACATTCGTGTGGAAGGGCACAACCGGCTCCTGGCTTCTGGTTTTGGCCACTGTAACCACTGGGGAGCGATGGAGGACCCTTCACATTTTCTCTCTCTCAGATAAACAGATCTCTTGTTTTTGAAAAAGTTTGAGATTAATGGAGACAAGGGGGCTTCAAAAAATTTATGGGAAATGTGCATTATGGAAAAAAAATACCTATGTAAGGTTCTGAAAGTTTTCTTGCAGTAATACACTTTTATCCTTTTAGGGAATGAGCAAACTGGCTAGTAACCTGAACAGAGTTACATAAAGCAAGCTTAGTCAGCTCCCACAGTTTGTTGTTGTGTTCAAGTTTTCTGGGTTGGATGAATCTTATCTGTACTTAGCAATCAAGATTCTGAGGCTAAATTCAAAGAAGTAGCCTCCTATACAGGATATTGCTTCAGTTTATTTCTGCCTGGCAAGACACACTCTTTCCTCCCCAATCATGCTTATGCTCTGTCTTGTTTTCTTGTTGGTCCAAGGTCACTGCCTCTTCTACGCCGTGCCAACAAAATTATTAAGAGACAAGCCACCACTGCCGGTCACTCTGTGCCAGAAGGAGATCCTGTCTGCCCTTGGGCAGTTGGACCATCAGCCTGCTTGCTTTCTCACACACAGTAAGTTGTGTAACTCTGGAATTTGGTTGGTGAGTGTGGTCACACAGGGAGTTTTGAAAATGAGCACATTGGCTTGGCTTAGCACAGTGTGAACCTGCCTAAAACATCCTCAACCAGGAGGTCTGTGATATTTCGGGAAGGTCACTCAGCTAGGTCACAGTCACTCCATGCCCCTTGGCTTCCCTCTAGGGGCTCAGGCTCCTGTTTATCAGTTCGTGACACGAAAGGGGGTCACAGGCAAGGGACAAGAGGAAGCCCAGAGTCTACTGGGAGGATTGATGATTTTAAAGTATCCAATACCATGGCAGAGGGGCTCTATAAGGGTATCAGAATTCCAATTAGTCACTCCTTACTATCTCGCTACCTTGAGTGATGCAGAGACCCAAGCATGCGATTTATTAATAAATACAACCCACAATAATAAGACTAAGTTAAAAAAAAGATTTAGAGTAACTAATATTCATTAGAATTAATTTTACGGAATTAATTTTATGTGAATCATCATGTTCCTATCACATCCATGATCCTATTTCCGATGGCATCGGTGCCATGATAGGATAATATACTCTACCTATCTCTTAACATTGGGTTTTGGCTTATGAAAGGTGATTGAATGATGCCATGGAGCCACCAGGGCCAGGGAGAGGAAAGCTTGGTGAGACTTACATTTACCCTGAGAACAAGATACAGGGCCTGCCACACAGAGCCACATGGGGAGGCACCGGAATTGGTCAAGAGGCAGGGACAAGGGGAGAAATCCAGCCACAAGCCTCCATGGCAGACAGGGCTGGGCAAGGTGAACAATTCAGGATCGGCTGATTTGAATTATTCCCATGGGTTTGGGTGTGGGAGTCTAAGGTTGTCTGTGTTGTCCAGTGCCTGGCTGTAGGAAGTATTGTTGGATGCGTTGAGTGTAAGAAAAAGAGATTACAGGGTAGACTCAAGACTGTATTCCTCTCTCCAGGAACCAACTATAGTCTTGGTAGAGATGCCGGCTGAGGGACACTTTTTTGTCTGTCCCTTAGCGTTGTCAAAGAATCATAAAACACAGAGAGGGAAAAAATAGATTTTATGCATACTTCATTATTAAAATGATCTACTTTTGTGACCACTTCCTCAGTCTGGCTAGGTGTTGTTTCGTATTGAACCTCAAGCATTTAGTGTAGTGTTGGACACACTGCTTAGTAAATATTGGGAAAAATGAATGAACATTAACTGCAATAAGTGTCATTAACTTTGACTACATGACCACTTTGTGTCAGGCACGGTGTTAAGAACTTGATACATTTTATTTCAGTTAATCCTCACATCTATTGATTTTCTATTCTTTCTGTGATGAACTGCCATCCACCAAGTGGCCTAAACAATGCAGATTTATTATCACATAGTTCTATGGAGCAGAGATTTCGTGTGCGCTGCAATGGGCTAATGCTGAAGCAGCCCCGAGGTGCTTCTCTTGTTGGAGATTCTGATGTTTGTTATCTCTCCCAGCTTCTTAGACCCACCCACATTGCTTAGCTTTTGACCATCTCCTCCATTTTTAAAGCCAGCAATCACCTTTTACTCATTTATTTGAAAGCCATGGTTGCAGAGAGAGAGAGAGAGAGAGAGAGAGAGAGAGAGCTCTTTCTTCCACTAGTCCCTGAGTGGGCCCAACAGCCAAGCCTGGGCAAGGCTGAAGCCAGGAACCAGGGGCTTCATCGATGTGTCCCATGTGGATGCAGGAGCCCAAGCACTTGAGTCATCTTCCATTATTTTTCCAAGGCACGTTGGCAGGGAGCTGGATCAGAACTGGAACAGCTGGGATGAGAACCAGAACCCCAATGGGATGCCCACGTCATGGGCGGTGGTGTAACAAGCTATGCCACAGCGTCAGCCCTCAGGAGCGAGCATTTAGCCTAGTTAGTATTTAAGACACCTGCTACATAAAGACATCATGAATGGATATACCATCGTAATCATTTGAAAGAAAAATAAGTAGGGTGCGATAGGGAAGAAGGGAGGACCTCTGGTACTTCTAAATCTGTATCATGAAAAACATGAAATCTTCTCTTATTATATAAACTATAAAGCTTTTTAAAAAGG